CGAAATTTCTTTCTGCTCTGATTTACAGACAAATTAGAAAAAAAGAGAAGAAAAAAACTTGTCAAACAAACAATAAAATCCGTTTATTGGCTGTACATTGCGCAAATTGATATCAACCTCTAATTGCATATTAATTAACCGCGAACTTGGCGAAAATTTTCCACCACCGCGAAATAAAAAGGCCGCCGAAAGTGTTTGCAGTTCGCAGGTAAATGCTAGAAAATCCAAAATCAAAATCCGAAACCGAAATCCAAATCCAAAAGGTTCAATAAAACGTGTGGAAAGCAATTCCCAGGGAACTTGGCCACCGGACCGAACCAGTTAAGCGAATTGGCCAGCCAGAATCGGAACTTCCCCCGCCATAAATGGCAATTTAACGCCCGGCATCCAAAAACTTTTATGGGCCACTGTAAACGCCCCGCCGCTAATCGATTGTGCAAATGTGACATTTTTGAGGGGCCATTTTTTTGTTTGCCGAGCGTCTTACATTTTATTATTTGCCATGGTCGGCTGGCTTTTGGCGACTGCCGGTGGGTGTGTGTGTATATTGTGTATAATCACCGGCCATCAGGGGTTAAGGGGGTTAAGGAATGACGCCCGGGCGGCTGCAGTCAATTTGCTTTAACACTTTGAGACAAAGCTCACAAAAAGGGGGCTTAACGCTTTCGATACTCGGGAGATCTTACCTTCCGCCTACACTGCCACACAAAAAGCACTCTCAAAAAAAACATTATATCAAACGATGATCAATTTGATATTTTGTGGTATCAATTTTGACTTGATATGCTGCATCTCAATTTAATATGCTCGATTTTGCTTAGTTTTACCACCATTGCATGATAAAAACGATAAGCGTATGCAATACCACAAATTTACCATGCGCATATCGATTTGATCCTGGGTTCAAGCTCTTAAAATCATGTATCTATAAAGCTATTTTTGCTAAGAACTGATTTATCCCTCAGTTAGCTCCAAATTAGTATAGTCTCAATTTTCCTATATTATTACCGGATATAGCTATAACACACATTCTAAATGAGTTTATCGCCCAGAGATATTCTATCCATATTTAATTTAATAATATCCAACAAAAAAACCCCAAAGCATCAATTTTATTTATTGGCCATAAATCAAGAAGTTTCGATTGGCATAATTTTAAACAAGTTTCCAATCAATTAGGTTCAGAAAAAAGAAAGATAGAATTCAGAGAGATAGAATTCATTAAGTCTTAATTAGTAAAAAATATGCTTCGGTGAGTCATCATTAAATATATTTAGTGATCGCTTTGAGTGGAAAGAGTTTCGAATATGCATTTTAAGTTTTATGCAGATTTCAATGCAAAGATCAAGATCAAGTATACAAATAATATAAATTGTAATAAAATAGTATATTTACATATAAAAACATAATTGAAAGCTAACCATTGAATATAATTTGCTGCATGATTGATTTTAGAATATAAATTGAGCCAGATACTTGATCCATCCCCTGATTTGGATTTGGATGAGGGATCCCTGCACTTCCTAATTACTCAATCAACTGCCTGATCACCGATCCATGATCTCAGATCTCGAATCTCCGATATATGATCGGATATACAAATCCCCATATCCACTGCACCGTTTACACAATGATAGCTGGGCAATTAGGTGATGGCCGTAATTACGGACAAATTACCCGGGAGCCGAAAGGGAGTCCGCGTCTGCCAATCCCGGCAAACCGGCAATTCTGACAACCTTCATCAGCGCTTGCATGATTGCCATATTTAGCTAATCTATCAATTATTGCATACAACTAATTGAAAATGGTTTAGGCAAATAATAAAGACAAGTCAGCGAAGCATGTCCAAAGTCAGGGTCACGTGATCCGTAGCTCCGTGATCCGGAATTCGGAATTTGTCTGGGAATTTACGTTATTATAAAATTAAAAATAAAGTTTTGGCTCTACAAAATAAATGCAACAACCAAGATCACACCAGAAATTATGATTCCTATTTATTTGTAGTGAATATTTTGTATTTTTCTATAACATGATAGCAAACTTAAACCCAGATCTCAGCCATGTTTTGACCATCGAACAACTGAATCTTCCATTTGCGTGTCGTCTCCACATTCATTTGTTTGCCCTTTTGCGCAATAAAATGTGTTATTTATTTATTTGTTCCTGAGAATGCTATTTATTTAATTAATTTAATACTCTTCGCATTTATTTACTTGCTTAATAAACGAAATGCGAACGACGAATGGCCCACAGTGTGTGCTCTGCGTGTTTGCTCTTCTCATTTTGATTAAATGCTGTTTCTGTTTCTTTATTTAATCAAATGAGAGTGGATGGTTGGGTGCATGGGTGTTTTTTTTTGGAGAGCAGATGAAATGGCAACGACATGCGACAAATTAAAAGTGCAACGTCAGAGAGCAGGAAATGGAAATGATCGTGGAGTAGCGAACCCAAGGGGCTGAATGCCCTCGATAGGGAATTTCCCAGCAATTCCGTTGCCCAACAACTGAAATTGGAGAAATGTATATTTTTCAGCTAATTAACTATATAGAATTTATCAACAAAAATGGTTTGAAAATTTACCACTGCCAACAGGTCGTATGCGTTATATGAGAAAAAGCCTAGGCCTAAGTAAATATTTACAGGTTTTAGTCAATCGGGCTACTTGTTTTCGCAAAAATCAGGGAAAATAAGCCCTTTTTTATGACAGCCATTAAAACTAAAAATAATTTTAGTGTACAAGACTTAATCGTAGGGCTTGCATCGTTTAATTTCGTAATGAAAACACATCCAGAGGGGTCCTAATTATTTGCACTGCCACCTGGCGGAGAATAGTTTGTAGTGCAAACAGGCAAATAAACAGAACAACAGAACGAGCGAGCAAACAAAGTTTATAGAGTTATATACGAAACGGTAGTCAAGTGCATATGCACTTCTATAGGTATAGCTACCTGCTAAATTGCATGAATTAGGCTTAAGCCTTTATTTATCGCATTTATATAACCACCGGTAAAAGTTAAGTAAATATGGGAACAGAAAGTACAAAAATACAGAAAGAAATTAAATAAGAAAAAATGTTACGAAATGCAAGTAAATAGAATAGAATGATACAGCTTAAGTTTTAGCCCTATATACGGATAAGGGTACAGATATAGTAACAAATAAATATATAGATTTAAATACTGGCACATCAATCTGGAAGCGCGTTGCATGTTCTCTCGTTCGGGTATTTCAATAATTGGTGGGAGTTATATCTATTAGGCTTTATCGTGCACTGATAATGACAGACTGTGGAAATAAATGCTTTTGATTAAATACAAAAGTGATTGTCTGGAAATGTGATTACATTATATCATAAATTTAGAACATTAAAAACGGAAATCGTCCACTAAAAATGCAATTCCTAAAGAACTTGATTTGTTTCCATAACTGTAATAGAGTTCTGGAAAAACTGTGTTAAATATCTTTAAGATCTGGGATTTCAGATTCCTGGAAATGGGTTCACATTCACCCCCTTTAACCCATATAAAGTTCTAGGCTCGGGATCCGGTCAGATCGGGTCAGCACCAGTTCAAAGCGGTCTTTGCGGCTGGTTAGTTAATACGGGTGTTTATGATGCAAACACATTCGATCGATCGGCTCACATCAGCTGTGACCATTATTATACATATTGTAATTGATGCATATGAATTGCGATTATATTGCATTTGCATGAGCATTCGGCTTGTGATTTGCATTCAAACAGTGCGCTCCAGGATGATAAAGTGGAATAAAAATAAATAATTATAAAAAATAAAATAAAATAGTGGATAGTACTTTAAACTACTTTGATCATTTGGAATAGAGCTTGAAATAATATCGACAGTTTGCTATTTTTCAAAATAAAATCGATTTTATCGAATCTATATTTTCAAAATATCGAAAATATCGATAATTTGTAAGTTCTTATTTGGAAACCTTACTATTCAATCTACATACAATCTAATGAATCCTTATAGCACCGAATCGCACTGTACTTTGTATAGTCTAGTCCAGGGCATTGTAATCGCATCGCATCGATCTCAATCGCACATCGATACCGCCAGCTGGGCCGGCAGATCGGATTTTATCGAACTCCCGAGTACCCTGTGGACACCTAGACTTCATCTTAGATGGCATTCAAAATGAAATATACAAATATAGAAATAGGCAGAATGTGCCGGGTCGAGTGCAGATTTATTACTATTTATATTTCGAATTTATCGTTTGTTGTGACTTGACTTTCGTCAGCTAATCGCTTGTTTATTGTTATTACGACACTGCGCGAGGCAAACAGATAGCGGCCCAGAAAACAAATAGAGTCATACGTATTCTATAACATCTCATGGAAAGCGGAAACTGCACGTTCAACACAACTCCCAACAGGTTGATATATTTCATCATCTATAGACTATAGTTGTGCGATTCGATAACTAGACGTGAGCTAATCTGCTCTCAAGGACATTGAAGGATTCCAAATATCCCATTTATTATAATTATTTTATCTAAATTTCTAGATTTAAAGGCTGTATTTTAGAAATGACTGGTACTTGATAGAATAAATCATATTTTACTCTTATATTACTGTAAAATTAGTAAACCAAATGAAATTATACAAATATTAGTCTCAAGGTGCTTAAATTTGAACCCCCCCCACATATGATTCACATGACAAATGCAAACCACGTGCATTCAACCATTCGTTTAACGAGAAAACCCGCTGAACCCAAGTGCGCAAACATTGTAAATTTCCCGAGATCTGCAAAGTCAGTTTGGCGGGGGGAAATCACCTTATACGGAGGAATCGTCACGCGCAATTGCGAATGAGTTCAGCGAATTTGGACGCTGATGGCGATCTGGGGATGGCGCCGCATCTGATCTTTCGGCAAATACCAGAAGGGGATTACTGGGCTAAGTTCCCATTTCGAGTGCTCGGCTTATCGCCAGCGCCACCAGAAATAACCAAAAAACCGACATTTCTGGCATTCTGTTTCGAGTGCATGAATATGAAATATTTCCCTTTATTTGCAAATCATTTAGTTAGAGCCATAAACGGTGGGACGCGCCATTGAAGCCGAGCAAACACCGCCGAATCAGGCCATAAAAGCAGAGCAGCCGCGTACTATAAACTAGGCAAACAGCCGGATCCCAACGCGATCCCCTCGTCCACTGTCAGGGTCCACTGGATGTCACCATCCCCCCTCAATTTACGTAGACCTTGAAGAAGACCACAGCACAGGTCTTCAGGTCCCCGGAGCTCAGGTGGACCACGGCCTTCAGGTCCCCAGCAATGTCCGCATGGGGCATGTTCCGCACAAACTCATGGTTGCTCACGTTGTTCAGGGTGTAGATGTGCTGGAAAAGGGACACTCAATTCCTTAAAAGACTTACATAGTAATGTTAGCACTATGATAGCCTATTGACTACTATGATTGCGATTACAAAATTAAGAAATGTATAAAATGTGCCAATGGATTTGCCAATCTTTACATTTTGTATAGGGTAACACCATCATGATTTTTATGCCAAAAATGTACAAAAAATAAAATGTCCAGGCCAATCTATTGGAAATAACGAGTTCAGAAAGATATGACAATCCATATTTGGACCAATACTGCCATTGTTACGGTAAAAAAACGAATTATTTTTTGTGCAAAATTGAAATCTGGGTTTTTGGTAAAAATTTGAATTTTTTCTTTTTGTTTTTTTGCTATAACTTGGCCAAAAATGGTCCTACACCAAAAAGACATACTGTTTTGAACAGATAACAAAATTTGCTATAAATCCATAAAACTTTCCGTGTAATTTTGGAAAAATAAAATTTTCGCCAATTTTCAATTTTTTTACAAGGGGGTACCCCATGATTTTTTGCGAAAAATTAAAAATGAATAAATTGTCAAGGTTTAAATGCCAATTGTTAGGAAATTTAATAACGAGTTCAGAAAGGTATGACAATCCATACTTTGAATCAGTATTTGCTTTGTTATAGCGAAAAAACTGCAACGTTTTAGCAAAAAAACGGGTTTTGTTTTTTTTTGGAAATTCGCGATTTCAGTTTTTGACAAAAATTGGAATTTTTTTCTTTTGGTTTTTTTGCTGTAACTTGGCCAAAAATGGTCATACACCAAAAATTCATACTGTTTTGAACAGATAACAAAATTTGCTATAAATTCATAAAACTTTCCGTGTAATTTTGGAAAAATAAAATTTTCGCCAATTTTTAATTTTTTTATAAGGGGGTACCCCATGATTTTTTTCGAAAAATTAAAAATGAATAAATTGTCAAGGTTTAAATGCCAATCGTTAGGAAATTTAATAACGAGTTCAGAAAGGTATGACAATGCATACTTTGAATTAGTATTTGCTTTGTTATAGCGAAAAAACTACAACGTTTTAGCGAAAAAACGGGGTTGGTTTTTTTTTGGAAATTCGCGATTTCAGTTTCTGACAAAAATTGGAATTTTTCCTTTTGGTTTTTTTGCTGTAACTTGGCCAAAAATGGACCTACACCAAAAATTCATACTGTTTTGAACAGATAACAAAATTTGCTATAAATCCATAAAACTTTCCGTGTAATTTTGGAAAAATAAAATTTTCGCCAATTTTTAATTTTTTTATAAGGGGGTACCCCATGATTTTTTGCGAAAAATTAAAAATGAATAAATTGTCAAGGTTTAAATGCCAATCGTTAGGAAATTTAATAACGAGTTCAGAAAGGTATGACAATCCATACTTTGAATCAGTATTTGCTTTGTTATAGCGAAAAAACTACAACGTTTTAGCGAAAAAACGGGGTTGGTTTTTTTTTGGAAATTCGCGATTTCAGTTTTTGACAAAAATTGGAATTTTTCCTTTTGGTTTTTTTGCTGTAACTTGGCCAAAAATGGACCTACACCAAAAATTCATACTGTTTTGAACAGATAACAAAATTTGCTATAAATCCATAAAACTTTCCGTGTAATTTTGGAAAAATAAAATTTTCGCCAATTTTTAATTTTTTTATAAGGGAGTACCCCATGATTTTTTGCGAAAAATTAAAAATGAATAAATTGTCAAGGTTTAAATGCCAATCGTTAGGAAATTTAATAACGAGTTCAGAAAGGTATGACAATCCATACTTTGAATCAGTATTTGCTTTGTTATAGCGAAAAAACTACAACGTTTTAGCGAAAAAACGGGGTTGGTTTTTTTTTGGAAATTCGCGATTTCAGTTTTTGACAAAAATTGGAATTTTTTCTTTTGGTTTTTTTGCTGTAACTTGGCCAAAAATGGACCTACACCAAAAATTCATACTGTTTTGGACAGATAACAAAATTTTCTATAAATCCATAAAACTTTCCGTGTAATTTTGGAAAAATAAAATTTTCGCCAATTTTTAATTTTTTTATAAGGGGGTACCCCATGATTTTTTTCGAAAAATTAAAAATGAATAAATTGTCAAGGTTTAAATGCCAATCGTTAGGAAATTTAATAACGAGTTCAGAAAGGTATGACAATCCATACTTTAAATCAGTATTTGCTTTGTTATAGCGAAAAAAGGGCGTTTTTTGTAATATATAATACGTTTTTTAAACAATTTTCCACATCAAACTAGGTACTTAATGTTTTTTCAACTTACACCTTTTTTGGGCGGACATATCATCTCGTTCTTGGGGATTTTTCTGAACAGCGGATACCAGATCTCCCGAGGATTGGTCAAGGAATTGCACAAGCTGTCGCGTTTCAGGCAGAGCGGTGTCGGGATCCATTCGTTTCGTTCCCAGCGAAAGACGTCGACCTGCATGCCAATCGGACCGCTCGGCACATCCATGAGCACCTTGATGTCGCCGTTGTAGTACAAAGTCTCCAGATCTTCGGCAACCTCGAAGGTCAGGCCGCTGATGTCCAAGATCTGACGAAGCGGTACATTGCCCTTGTCCTCTTGGGCATCGCAAACGATGTCCATGGTTTTCTCATCGCCGATAACCTCGTAGTTGGTGCTCTATAAAATTACAGATGAAAGATTTTACATTTTATAAAGAAAATACAATTTGTTTATTAAATAAAAATATGTTATAAAAATTACTATGTTAATAATTATGGGAATTTCATTTTTTTAATGAACCAATTTGAAGAATATTTTATAAAAATTACTATCTTAATAAGTAAGGGAATTACGATTTTTTCATATATTAATTTTAGGAATATTTAAAAAAAATTACCATGTTAATAGATAAAGGAAATAAATCTTTTTCGTGACTTAATTTAAAAAATGGGAGCATTTTTAGGACCCATACTTACCCGACTTCCCTGCAGGAGTTGCAGGATGCAAAGCAGCAAAATAATCCAGAGCTTCATTTCGTGACTTTCAAAGACCTCCTCCGCCAGCTGCAACATTTTATAGGGCCCTCGACTAATTGCCCGCCAATTAGCCAACGCCATTCGCATTGTTTAACTAATTGCCAAATTAAGTTGTACATATTCCACTTAATTGCCGATGCAGATACCCAATATGGCGATTCAGATTCACCGATCGTAGCACCCTCAAAAAAAATTCCAAAACCTCAAAAAAAAAAAAACAGAGCACACTGAAAACAAATCAGCATGCGGCAGGCGTATTCCGGAAGGTCGGAGCCCGGATTCGTCCGGAAGTGGGTCGCCGTCTCAATGGAACACCCACATCACGCATACGTCGTGTGCGCCCGCGGGATAATAAAAAAAAAAGCAAACGCACTTGACCCTGGACAACCGACTGGCTGGGCTTGGTTCGCCGATTCTGTCTTCTGTTTGTAGGCCATGGCTGCCGTAAAATATCAAAATCGGGCCGCCACACGACGCCCCTTATCCAAGTTATCCGATAACGGGGAGCCTTCTCTTCGCAAACAAGGCAAAAGCCAGAACAGCAGCAAAAGCGCGTGGCCACTGCTCGTCTTTATGGTTTTGGAGTGAAGGGTGATGCTCTGGTAGCAGTAGCATACTTTATGGGATGCGCTTAAAGCTAACACAAGTCACAAAAGTAGGGTTTCTACTTTAGGAATAAGTTTTTATAAACAGAAATCCATACTTAACGCAAATTAAATATAAAAAATATAAATTTTAAAATAAATTAAAATATATAGTACTTAAATCACGAATATATGCCTAAGACTTGGTTATTTCACGTTACAATAAATAATATTTTTATTTTCTTACATATTTGTTTTGCTTTTTAATGGTTATAGTTGAATTAACATTATTTACGAACATTAAGTCTAAATTGGAATAGTTTTTACCGTCCTTTATTTTATTTCAGACTTTCGAGAACATTTTTGATCAAGCAAAGTCATCGTTGGACATTTAATTGGCTTGGCTTCCGATTCCAAATTGAATTTCAAGTTTTTGTAGACAGAAATCCATACTTAACGCAAATTAAATATAAAAAAATATAAATTTTAAAATAAATTAAAACATATAGTACTTAAATCACGTTACAATAAATTATATTTTTATTTTCTAACATATTTGTTTTGCTTTTTAATGTACATAGTTGAATTAACATTATTTGCGAACATTTATAGTCTAAATTGGAATAGTTTTTACAGTCCTTTATTTTATTTCAGACTTTCGAGAGCATTTTCTATCAAGCAAAGTCATCGTTGGACATTTACATTAAATTACATTAAATATAATTGGCTTCCGACTCTAAACTAAATTTCAATACAGAATTTTCCCCGTAGAATGTTTGTTTACGAAACCTAACTTAAGCTCTGTAGGTTCCTTTGTAGTTTATCACGTGTGGTTGTCAGGATTGTCTTTGATATGAGCTAACTATAATTTAAATAACCTCTTGATTCAGTCTGTTGGATGGTCCACGTCAGTCTCCTGAGTTTCCTCTGCGATTGGCCTGCCGTAGAGCAGAACTTTGGCCGGAATGGACTTGCAGCCAGAGGCGCGAGCATCGCTTCCCCTGATTATCTCCTCCACCTGATCGTCCTCCAGTTGCAGCCGCGCGTTCTGCGCTTCCCTCCGGATGCAGTCGACCAGATGAATGGCTTCCAGCGCGGCATAGGTGATGACATGGCTGCGTGGCAGTCGGCGCAGGGTCTCCATTTCCGCCTCAAACTCCTCGTCGCCCTGCAGGCGATTCACGCTGAAGACGAGCAGCACGGTTAGCTGCTTCAGGTGCGGCTGCTCGGTTCGGTTGGCGATCTCGTCGTGCGCCTTGATCAGTTCACTGATGGCCGGCACATGCTCGGCATCCGCTGGCTCCATGTTGTCCACCACTATTAGATTCTGGCCGCAATAAGCCAGCTGCGTCAGCAGGCCCTCCAAACGGCGCACGGATCGAGCGCCGCTCCACGAGAGCGTCCTCACATTTTCGGGCCAGGGAAAGTGATTGCGCAGGATGCCCGCCGTGAGGCTCTTGCCCACGCCAGAGGAGCCCACCAAGGCGATGATCTGGTGGATGGGAAAGTCTTTATAATAGGGATGTCGAAATATTTAAAAATATTCAAAAAATTAAAATGATATTTGATATATCAGAAAAGAAATATTTATATATCAGATATTTTTGATATTTTTGTTTTATAATTATTTTGTATTAATTTTAAGCTGCATAAGGCGAGGGCACCCAAATATAGTGTTCTATCTTGTTTTTAATGCGTTTTCTTGGATTCTGAATGCTATGCTATAAAAAGTAAAACCAATTAAAATGATCAAAAAAATGTGCAAAAAAAACTGATAATTATTCAAAAAAATATCACGATAAAAAAGTTTTTTTTAGGCAAATAAAATCGATATATTGATATTTTGATATATTTTTGACATCCCTACTTTATATATAGCTTATAATATTAATAAGAATTCCGGGAAAACGGTTTAGCATAAAAATCTTCTATGAAAAACCGAAATTCAAGCATAATTCACAGGTGCGTTCTACGCAAAGACCTTCGAATATTTCTCACCCAAGATCCGGTAAGATCGGGGGCAACACTAACCTGGCGACTGGGGCTGTCCAGCGCTTGTTCCAGCTGCTCCAGGGCCCCATCCTGGTGGAGGACGTGGCGCCGGGCCTGCTGGACCATGTGGCCCAGCCGCTGGCCGCGATCGCAGTAGTTGTCCCGGTTGTGGACGATCGAATGGTACTGGTTCTTGTAGCTCTCCAGGAAGTTGTCATCGAGCTGCAGGCACAGGCCCACGCCGGCGCCGATAACCAGGACGACCAGGGCTGCCCAGAGCCACAGGGGCGTCCTCCGGCCGGAGGCGGACATGTCCGTCTCCTGGTCGCGACTGGAGCGCTTCCGGCCGCTCCGCTCGGCGACAATCAGGCGGCGGAGGCGCCGCTGCAGCTGACCACTGCCCGTGCGCCGGCTTCTCGGCGAGGGGGTGGCGCCGCTGGAGTCCCGCCGCCTGGCGGATCGCGTCCTCGTCCGGTGGAGCACCTGGGCACCCGGCGTTGGCGTTTTGTCCGTGGCCATATAATCGAATTGCTCGCGGTTGCTACGAACTTGTGTGAAGGATGGGAAATAAATATAACTAGGGAGCTACCGCCAGCACATTCTTTCAGAAATGTAGCCAAATATTAGCCTAATTTACTCACTTTTTTGGGAAAGCAGCGTTTTGCAACCGGCAAAAAAATTTAAATGCCGCCTCATAGTGTGACCGTTTGTGGGGTATTTTTTCAAACGGTACTTTGGTATGGCCGGGTTAGTATTTTATTTTTAGTATTTTACTTAAAGTTTGTAAATTGTTTTTTTAATTTATTTAGTTTTGTCCCACAGTAAAATTTAAAAAAAGAAATAATTACATTATATTTGGATAAACATTTTTTCTCAGTTAAAAAAATTAAAATGCCACCTCACAGTGTGATGCATTTTTCCAAACGGTACTTCTCCTGGCCTGATTAGTATTTTACTTACAGCTTGTAGATTATTTGTAATTTATTTAGTTGTTAGTTTAATTAGTTCAAATTAATTTAAATACATTACATTTGGCTGATCACTTTTAGTCAGTTTAAGTATAAACCCAGCACAACCCTAGTTATCAGCGGTATTTTTAGGGCATATTTTTAAAGGGTTCATTTTTTGGTATATTATTTTTTTTTACTTACAGTTTGTAAGATTATTTTATTGTTTATTAGATTAGATTATTTGTAATTTAGTTGTTAGTTTAATTAGTTCAAATTAAATACATTGCATTTAAATAATCACTTTTAGTCTAAATATATACCCAACACAACCCTACTTTCCAGCGCGGTATATTTTTGGGTATATTTTCAGTGGGTTCATTTTGGTATATTTTCGCCGCAGCTTGCGTTGAAAATCATCTGTCGTTGGCCAGATATTGAGATATATATTTAAAATATAACCCCCCAAATCCGATCCGCGATGACGAACGAGGACGCGGGCACCAACAGCGTCGCCGACCGCCTGCAGGTGGGTCCGCGCGAGGGGGTCACCTATCCGATCCAGATGAAGTACTGCGGCCACTGCACGATGCCCATTGAGGTGAGAATCTATGGGAAAATCTATATGTTCCATCCATATAATGCTCTATTTCGATCCCCAGTACTGCGAGTACTATCCGGAGTACGAGAAGTGCAAGGACTGGCTGGAGCGGCACATGCCCGACGACTTCGAGCGGCTGAAGATCGAGGAGGAGGCGGCCGCCGCCGACGGGACGGATGACGACAAGAAGCGCCAGAAGCGCGGCGGCAAGGGACTCCTCCGCGTGAAGAAGAAGGAGGACGTGCCCAAGCGCATCTGCGTCTCGCGGGCGGCGCGCGGCAAGAAGAAGTCGGTCACCGTGGTCACAGGACTGAGCACTTTCGGTGGGTCTTTGTCCTTCTTATGCTTAAGGAGCTCCTACCTTTACATATCCCTTAATTCCACTTGTAAACTACACCCTTTTGTTGGGTTACAAGCTTATCAGATCTTTCTAGGCGATATAATAGGTGTATTAAGTATGATAACCTATTCAAACTCTAGATCTATTCATATATAATCTTCTCTATGATACAATAGGCATTTATTGATCCAGAAAAAGTCTTATTAGATCCTTTCTAAGCGATATAATGGTTGTATCAAGTATGATAACTAATTCAGACTGTAGATCTATTCATATATAATCTTCTCCATGATACAATAGGCAATATAATGGTTGTATTAGGTATGACAACTTATTTAAACTCCAGATCCATCCATATATAATCTTCTCTAAGAGGCAATAGGCATTTATTAAGTATGATAACTTATTTAAAGTCAAGATCCATCCATGTATAATCTTCTCTATAATACAATAGGCGATATAACGGTTGTATTAGGTATGATAACTTATTCGAACTTTAAATTTGTCCATATATAATCTTCTCTATGATAGAATAGGAGATATAATGGTTGTAATAAGTATGATAACCCATTTAAACTCTAGATCCATCAAGATTTAATCTTCTCTATGATGAAATAGGCGATATAATGGTTGTATCAAGTATGATAACTTGTTCGAACTTTAAATTTATGCATTTATAATCCTCCCCATGATACAATAGGCATTTATCAGACCAGAAAAAGCACATATCTACTCATCTCGCTATAAATATAATTCTTATTTATTTATAATTCCTTTCCAGACATCGATCTCAAGGTGGCCGCCAAGTTCTTTGGCACCAAGTTCGCCTGCGGCTCCTCGGTGACCGGCGACGACGAGATCGTCATCCAGGGCGACGTCAAGGACGACTTGTTCGACGTGATACCCGAGAAGTGGGCCGAGATCGACGAGGATGTCATCGAGGATTTGGGCGATCAGAAGCGAACATGAATAATTTAATCAGTTTCCTTAGCTTATTTTATACGCTACATCATTAAACGTGATCTTCTGGGTTATTTATTTGGATTGCTTGACTGGATTCGGCTGATTCCTTTGGGGATTCCGTTGGAGGAGCTGGATTACTCTTGGCCTGGGCAGCCCGCTTCCCGGACTGCTTGCCAGTCGACTTGGCAGATGCCTCCGCTGGCTTTTCGGCGGGCGTCTCCTTGGTTTCTCCGCCGTGGAAGTGCTTGTAGCTCAGCTGGATGATCTTCTCGTTCTCCTCGTCGGTCAGCGGGGCCTTGTTGTCGTCGATGAGCTGGAAATGGTATTAGATTAGTGCTTTTTGGATCCCCCACTAGCCTGGCTGGCCAATCCTCACCAGCTGCGTGTGAAGAGCACTTGTCGGCGGATCGTTGATCATCTGCAGAATCTCATGGGACTTCAGGCGATAGGAGGAGAGGTCCTTCACGTAGCCCACGATGCTCTCGCGCGTCTGCGTCTTGCAGGGCGACTCCTCCAGATATTGCAGTGCCTGCGGAGCCGGAATCCTGGTTAGTTTCCCATTTATGGATCGCATTTTGAAATATTAAACCCACCTCGTAGGTAACTGTGGCCAAGTTCCGCATGCCGAACTTCTTTTTGGTGCTCTTGATCTTCTGCAGAATCTGCATCACCTCCAGATTGGTGAGGTACGAGAATGTGGGGTTGATCCTGCATGGTATTGAGATATTATCAATTATTTTATAGGGGAAATTAAGCAAAACAATTCTCACGTTTCCATTTTCTGTTGAGTCGCCGAGTTTTGGTAGGACCGCACGGCGGGAATTAAAAAATACCATGGCAAGCCAGGTGGCAAAGAATAACCCTGGCAACCCTGGCTTTTAACGGTTCAAATATTTTAATCCTTAATTTGAGCTCTTAAAAATTACGAATCAATTTGCATTAAATCCTGAAAAAGAAAACCCTTTGCCGGGGTTCTACAAAGTTCTATAAATTATCCAATACCAAAAAAGGTAATAAAATTAGAGCTTTAAAGCTATCGATATTTTCGACAATACTGATTTGATATTCTCGATGTTTTGAAGGGAAAAATCACTTGATATTTTTTCAAGCTCTTTCATTAATTCACTTACTCAATAATGGATTACCGATCCTCTTTTGGCCCTAAAGAGGATAAAACCTTTTATTATCCAATACCAAAAAAAGGTAGCTTCATTAATCAGAGCTTGAAAGTAATCGATGTTTTCGATATTTTTACAATATTGAATCGATAACATAGATGTTTTGAAGGGAAAACTCGCCTGATATTTTTTCAGGCTCTTTTATTAATTCACCTATTCAATAAAAACATTTCAATTACAGTTTAAAACCAAAAAAATGGACTAACGATCCTCCTTTGGCCCTCGAGAGGACTGAAACTGCTTGATGGCCTGCAGAACGGGCTCAAAGGAGGCCAGCTGGAGGGATTTCTCCCGCTGCTCGGCCACCTCCAGCTTGGCCTGGCTGACGGTGAGCTTGGTTTGGAGCGCCTGCAGCTCCTCCTCCGCTCCGGCCAGCTTCAGTTCGCAATTATCGAGGCTAGCGTTGCGTGCCTGGTGATCCTCCTCCTGGTGAAGCTCGCCGGCGGTTAGGAGATCCTCGTTCCGCTGCACACTCGCTTGCAGCTGCTCCGCCGCCTGCTGTTTCCGCTGCTCCAACTGCTCCACTCGGCCGAGCTGATCGGTCTGATCCTCGAGCAGCTGCCGCTGGTGCTGCATGGCCATGTCGCGCCTGCTGCGCTGGCCCGCCTCCAATTTGGCCAGCCGCTGCTTGTGCGCCAGCATTTGTGACTCCAAGCTGCCGATTTCCGCCTCCAATTCGATGCGCGGGCTCTTCAACTGATCCACCTGCTGACTGAACAACTGCCGCCGCTCCAGATTCTGCTGTCGCTGCTGCTGCAGCAGATGGCCCAGCAGCTGGAGGCACTGCATCCGCTCGTCGATGTCCTCCGGCTGCGGATTGAGCGGCAGCGAGAGGTCCAACTGCTTGGCCTTCATCAGGTTGCCGATCAAGGGATCCATGCTCAGATGCCGCACATGCGAGTTAAAACCCTCCACGCAGTCGAGCTGCCTTTGCTTGGCGCGGGATAGCATCACCTGCTGGTGGAGCTCCAGCTCGGAAACCTCCTTCACCTGCCGCTCGTAGGCCTGCGAATAGTTCTCCAAGTCGGCGGCTTTTATCTGCAGCGCTTTTAGCTGCTGGGCGGAGTACTTTTGGCTGGAGACCGCCTGCTCCAATCGCAGCTCGTACTTGGCCTGCTGGCGGAGATGCGCCTGCTGCTCCTCCGCCTGTTCGGCCAGCCGTTTGTCGAGGTTTCGCTGCTGCTCCACCTCCGCCTGGCATTCGCTGAGCTGCCGGACGAGCTGCTCCTGCTCCTCGATCAGCTGCTCCAGCTTATTTCCATCGTTACTACCCTCCAGGACTTGTAGCTTCTTTTGCAGCTCCTCAATCACCCGATCCAGCGCCTGGCGATCCGGCAAATCGCACTTCTTGCTCACCACCTGATCCCCCGTCTCCGCCTGCAGCCTGAGCTGCTCCTCGAGCAGCTCCTGGTCCCAGAAGAGGAAGCATTTGCTGGCCTCGGCGAAGAGCAGCGCATTGACCTCCTCCTCCAGCTGGATGGCCTGCAGCTGCGAGGATTCGCCGTGCACGCTGGGCTGATCGCTGGTCTCCATGAAGGGGAACCCGGGCTCCTCCGAGGAGGCAAAGTCGAGGAGAAAGTCCAGCAGCAGGATGACGTGGCCAAAGGAATGCGAAGTGGTGGGCGACACCAGCCAGGATTTGTTGACCTAAACGGGGTTAAAAATCCAGTTATTTAGGACATGTGAGAGTTGGATCATCACCTGGTAGGGATACTGCAGCTTCTGCATGGCGCTCGTGATGTCCTCGACGTGATTCTGGCCCACGGTCACCCGATTCCGCCAGATGTGCTGGAACAGAAAGTTCAGGATCGACACAAACTGCTTGATGGTCATGTGCCGCAGACCGCCGGGCCGATTGTACAGCTCCGAGATGCTCAGCGCGGCCGGATTGGCGTCCTGCAGATACTCCAGGATCTGCTGGGCCCGCTCCGCCACCCACTTTTTGTCCGAATGCGGGGCAACCGGGCGTTCCGCCGTCGAGGGCGCCGTGCGGTGGTGGTGGAGGCCGCGCTTGGGCGTCACGCCCATCTGGGTGAAGCGATCCCGCTCCAGGTTCATCGGCTGCGGCTGCGGGATGGCCGAGCGTCTGGCGGGGATGGGAAGTGATTTATTGGATTATTCTTGAGGGGATTACCCTTAAGGGGAGCACCCACCTGCGGGGATTCACCTGGCCGGAGGAGGGAGTGATGAGCGCCGCTGTGCTGCGCTTGGTGGCCCTGAAAAAGGGATTTTTCAACTGGCATTCGAAATCGGATGCACTGCATCCCCAACCCACTCACCTGGTCTGCCGCTTGTCGGCGGTGCCGCGATCCTCCAGCACAGTGCCGCGGAACTCGCTGGTGCGACGGGGCATGTGGTGCGACATCTTGGTTTAGCTAAAAATTCAATCAAAATTAAATAAACTGATTTGCTTAAAAACTTCCTTTGGAAAAATGGCGCGTCGGCTTCAGTGATGGGTATAAAAAATACCAAATACCATTTAAGAGAAAATACCGAAAAAATACTTGTAATCTACCTTGCTATCGATACTAGGTATTTTTCCTGGGCTGACTGCGCGGGCATACTGCCCACCGTTAATTTTATTCGATCGCTCGGATCGGGTGGGAAAATCAGAAAATCGGAAAATCGCGGCTTCAACTGGCGGATCGTTTTGGCTAGGGGACAAAGAATCTTGTTCTGGTCATGATTTTGCCATTCGCGAATTGTCAACTTTTGTTGAGCGACAACAACAACAACAGCAACGGCGATCGCGAGAGAGAGAGAGACGGATGCAAACAATGCGTACGTGTGCGCGTGTGTGAGTGAGACATTCCACAAGTGATTCATTCCGCAAAAATAATAATAATAAACAATAAATAAATAAACTGGGGCGAAATGTTTGTGGAAATGTGTCAACAAGTTGTTGTATCAATATGTGTGGCTAATCGAAATCGGTTTGATTTTTAAGAGACACTTTACTTTTCGCCCTCTCTCTCTCTCACTCTTTGTTTTCGTTTTTTATTGTTGTGCCGTGTGAGTGTGCGTGTGTGTTGTGAATATAAAACACAATTTAAAGTTAACCACGCATAAATTGCATACGAAATTTCGACAAGGAAAAAGCGAAAGGTAAAAGCCAGCGATTTTGATTTTTTACTTATTTTTTGAAAGTGGGCTTCGATTTTCGGTGATTTTGTCTCTCTCAAATGCGTTCTAATCAATCCGCCTAAATATGCGGGTAGTGTGTTTGTGTTGGTGGTTTATCTCTTTTGGCACAGCTGTGAGCAAAATTATAATCCAAAAAAAAGAAAATAAAAAAAAAAAGAAAACTAAAAATATTTTTACTCTTAATAGTTAACCTTCCTTGTAAATGGTTTAAAAATTCTGTTGTTACCTAACATATTTTGTATAACTTTTTCCAATAAACTAAAGATATTTTTAAAGCTTTTTTTGTATCTTAAAACTTTTCATATTGAAATTTACTACTAGTATTTTGAGCACTTGTGTATTTTGACACACATATATTTCGCTTCTAACTGCTTATCGCTCCCATTTGGCGATAGTGTGTGTGCGAGGGAGACAGGTGCCACCTGTTGCTTCTCCTCGCCGCCTCCCCCCGTCTCTTTCCCCCCGCCGTCCACCGTCTCTTTCGACACATTTTGTTGCTGGTTCTTAATTGTTTGGCAATTAAGTCAATTATAAACATATTAAGACAACCGACACACATTCCCCGATTTAGTTTAGTTTTCCCTTTGCCTTTCGCAGACAAACCAATAACCGATCAATTCGAGTGAAAAGCCCCCAAAAATTGGGCCAAGCAAATAAAAAGGCTCTTCAGATCTATTAGCTATAGGAATAAATAAAATAAACAATCTATTACTTATGCTATGTGCATGTGAATAACAAAAAAAAACCCTTGACTTGGCACTTTTTAAAATTCTTTAGGGATTAATGTATATTTAAGTAATTGTTTTTAATATTTAGAAACTAAAAGATGATAAAAGCGACAGTTCTAAAAATAAATCCATCATTATTATGACAAAACCCGACTCAATCTCTTAAAACAAAACTACTATCTTTGTTAATAATTGCTTTTCCCTGTTCAATGTTAACATTTCCTCAAAACAATGTGTTTGTTTTGGTTATTAGAAATATTCACCGCAGCTAGAGTTTCTCTATTAAAAGGAGTTACAGTTGAATAGCATCACGTATTCCCCTTATAATCCCATAATGGTACACTTAAAAAGTATTATTCGCCCTAAATTATAGAAATTTGTTTCACTGGCGTTTTTTTCTATATTTCAGGAGAATTTCTTATATTTTATAATTTTTTCTTTACCAGTAGAACATTTTTTTTATTTTAAGAAAAAAATCGCCAATGAAGGAAATTTCTATAATTCAGGGAATAATTTTTTAAGTGTAATCCAGGTAATCAAGTGTCTGGCATTTCTTCAAATTCTACCCCTCGAACGATTCTTCTTCTTTTTCTGTCTACCTGTCTTCGCTTTTTTCCGTGTGTAAATCAAATCACAAATCGATGGCAACTTACATACGACAAAAAATGCTGTCAAACAACTTGGAAATCGAGTCGCAAGTCGCGAGATCGCTTAGCCCTCCTCGATTCTTCGGGCTCCGGTCTTATATAATTGGGGCCATGGAAGCGTTAAGTCGAGTGTGGATCTATCTGTGCCCATTTCCTTCAGTTCTTTTTTGTTTTTATATTTTTTGCACCATGAATACGATCCGGGAATAAGAGACGAACAGTTAACTCAGCTTATTTTTACTGTCGCAGCTCTTATCGCGCTTATAAACATAAACAAAAACAAAGCTTGAACTCAGTCCGTGAATCACATAAACGTACATATACGATAAATGCACAGAAAAAAAAACCTAACCATATCTGTTCTATATCTAATAATATATAATATAATATTAAATCTTATAAATCACGATATAGGAACAGATTAAATCTGTTAAAAAATTGTAAAAAACAATGACTATGATTTTTTCCAGTGCACTATCGTATAGCCATTGCTCTTGGTCCATGGAAACTGCTGTAATTAGCAAAATAACAATGCAACAAAAGAAGAAAAGCATAAACAAGTAAGGGGAGAACGCAAGTGATTCATGCGAGTAAATGACGATCCAATTGCAAATGCGCATGAATGCATCGTTTTATTTGCATGCAAACATATAAATATGAATTAAACACATCGGTTTACATATTGCATATACGAATATAAATAATAATACATATATGTTTTGGCCAGGCAATATATTTTCGCAACGGAAGTATGCCTTATTAGATCGTATAATTGCGCAAAATATTAGAGCAATGTGCGGCAGCGAAATATGATATATCAATATATATATATCAACGTAGGCTTAAGGCAGTTCAAATGGATTTATAGTTCACGTCAGTCGTATATCCAGAGCAAATAATTTCGCAAACTGTTTTATTTTAATTTACCAAAATTTATAAAAAAAACCTTATCGATGATATTTTGTGAGGTTTATTTGAGATTTTTTTTAACATTTCCCAAGAGTAATCTCGTGTTTATGGAAACAGAGTTTTAAAAGAAACCATATAATTAATAATGAAAATCAGAATACTTTATCGGGACTTTCAGTTTCGTTTTCAATAAGGCTCATTCATATTTCCCTTGGGGAAATCAATCAAAATAATTGCAGTTTCTCCATGTGGTTGATAAAGCAAGGGGTTCTGTTGTCATTCTACCATAATTCCAAAAGGGCCTCCAGACCATCAGACCATCTATCGCCGGTCATTCATGATCTATACGGGCACTCAGCGCTATATAATTATCATTGTTGGGTGGCTCGCCATTGTTATCGCTCTTTCAGCCCGACCACTATAAGTACGAACGATATCTGAACAAATGTATATATACATATATATAGAGAGAGAGTTTTATACAAGGTACAATTCGTAACCATCTAACCACACGAAAGTGTGACACATTTTGGTTATATCTAGGGGGACGATAAATGGAAAACAAATAGTGGAAACATTTTCTAAGACATTTTCCATAATTAATATAAAACAAAGAAACTACAAAAAAATTTAAAGCTATGAAACGCACTGTAGACAGTTTAGAATTGGGTAATCGAATGCGGATTGATAATTGTGAGTGGCACAACAATTGATTCACTTGGTCAGCATATATTTATATGAGTGCATATATTTATCGTCGTGTGAGAGAGTGAAATTTGAAATTCGATTAATCATCGAAGGTAGTAGTAGTAGTAGTAGTAGTTCTAGTTCATTTTCCTGGAACACAAAATGTGGGGTGGTATGGATGGGGTCCCATCTAATGTGAGTCATCATCCATCAAGTTCATTCATTCAATAGCCGCCACAATGGGTTCGTTTAAACGTTTAAACGTTTATAAACAAAATCATCGTCATCCAGGAAGACGCACTTGTGGGGGAGAGAGAACTCCCATTTGAAGTAGGGCGAGCGACCACTTAAGCGACAACGACAGCAATTCCCGGACTCCCCAGATGGTCCACTCTTTGCGATCCCATCCCATCCAATTTCATCCGATCCGATGCGATCTGATATGGTCTGGTTCGGAGGCCCCACTTTGGACTCTGTCGGGAAAAGTTGAAAAGTTCAGGGAACTGCAAATGGAAGTACAGCGAAACAATGGGAGGGCCCCTAGGAATTAAGATCGTCGATTAAGTGGTGATGTAAACAAGTCTTAAATGCCAGATACTTTAGTCGTAAAAACTAAAGAAAATATTGAAAAGCAAATAGAAGAAAAATTTATCATACCATAAATAAAACATAAATTGCATAAAAATAAAAAATATAATTTCTCTTGTGAAATATTAAAACAATATAATATAAAACAAAATAATATAGAACATAAATTGAAAATTGAATAGTAGTTAGTACTTATTACGATTTAACATAGTTATTTCAGTTATTTTAGTTTCATAAGGAAAATCAAAAAAATTTTTTATGATCTTCAAGGAATTCCCTGATTTATTTTTCCTAAAAAAGATCTTACTTTCTGGGCTGGCAGTTGAAAATTAGCTGATAACTGCGCTCTCAAGCTGGGATAATGTTTATTCAGATCTCTGTTTCGGTTTCATTCCAAGCTGAATAAATAATCGTCTGAAAAGCGCTGACTTTGAAAGCGGAAAGTGAAAGCGGATGAAAATTAATGATGACCGATCGAAGAAATGCAAACACGTGTCTTTAATTTCCGCACTGTCTGCGTTTTGATTTTTATTTTGTTTTTCCTATTACTTATTTCTTAATTTTGATTTGCCCAATTATGTGGCCACTTAAGAATTGCGAATACTTAGCGTAAATTATAAATCTAAATAAATTATGATCGCGTAATTGTTGGGTTTAATTAGACTTCTCCTCCTAACTCGAGTAGTCGAGACGCCGGCGGGCGAGGGCCAATCGGATGAGTCGCCGCTGCTCCAGTTCCTGCAGTTGCTGCCGGACGAGCAGGCGATGCAGTAGCTCCACCTTGGCGTACTCCTCGGCCTTCCGCTGCACCCGCCTCCGCTGCTCCTCCACAAAGGCCTCCATTTGGCAGGTGGGTTCCTCCGGCCGTTGTTCCTTTGAAGTGTGGCGATTCCAGCAGTTGAACTGCAAGTGGACGAACTGCAGCAGCAGATGGAACAGGTGGCTCCAGAAGGTCAGTGAGGATTGATAGAATGCGGACAGGCTGGAGGACATGTCGTTTCGGTTCGGTTAACTGCTGAGTAGTGTGAGGTTTCCCGCACAATCTGGGCTTTATATATCCCAAAAAGGGGTTACGTAAGTTACCTCAGGTCAAGGGATTAGTGTACCAAAATTCCAAGGGGCTATCTATAGGGATAGGATTGAGTTTATCTATAAATAGGACCAAAAACCTCAGGTAACTCTGAAAGTCAAGCCCTATTAGGGACCGGGATCGGGTTAAACCCCAGTTTCTTATCGTTTATGGGGTTTGCGTTTGGGGTTTTAAGAGATATTGAAGATATTACCTGGATAAAGAGCCTGGTTTATCCTAGGTTCTACCTGGCATTGAATTTAGAGGTATATTTCCATAAAAACAACTACAACTAAGCACCATTGTTATCTAAAACGTTCTAGGTTATATATAACTATTATAACTTTCTATATTTTTATTTTTATTTGTTTTTTTTTTAAGTTTCTTTATAACTATTATAAGGTTCTATATAACTTTATAACTATTATAACTTTATATATTATTTATATCTGTTTTTTCTAAGTTCTATATAACTATATAACTATTATAACTAAGCCCGATTTGTATCTATATCTTTCTCGGTTCTATATAACTATTATAACTTTCTATATTTTTATTTTTATCTGCTTTTCTAGGTTCTGTATAACTATTATAACTAATCCCGATTTGTATCTATATCTTTCTAGGTTCTATATAACCATGGAGCAGGCGCGTCCTGTGCCCGCCCCCCGCCGTCTTTATCCGGAGCTGCGTCCCGCCAACTATGAGAATATCGAGATCCGCACACCCCAAGCCAACAATAATAATAATAACAGTAATAATAATAATAATATCAAGAAGCTCAACATAAATGCGGAGAATCTGCACGGCAATTGTGGCGAAAAGAAGCTGCCGTCGAGTGGCCAAAGCAAGTTGATTCTGCAGGAAAACAATATAGGAGATAGTCAGCCGATCTATGGTCCGGATGCGAATGAGAATGTCCAGGAGCCCTTGTATGCCATCCCAAAGCCAGCGCCGCGCCAGCGAGCGATGCCAATCGAGGATCAGGATCAGGATCCAGATCAAAATCCAGATGAAGTGCCGCTGAGGATTCTGCGGGCGGCGCCACAAGTTCCGCCCAAGCCACTCAACAATGACCCACGATCCTCGATCTGCAGCGAGGTGTCCTCCAGCAGAGCTGGCGAGGATCGGCTGGATCGGGAGGAATCGCGGTACGCGTCCAACGTTTCGCTCGACTGCAGCGAGAGCTCCCAGAGCGGCAAGTTCAAGTCGCAGTCACCCGGGTACGTAGACGCCATCAACGACTCAACGGATCCGAACGGGGATCAGAATCGGGATCGGGAGTCCTCTTCCTCCGCAGAACAGTCCTCCGGCAGCCAAGATGGCGACGATGACAAGTAAAGATTGACCATAAATCCAAACTTAGCTTTGCACTCTCCTTAGTTGTTTGATGGGTTTCTTTTTGGTTTATTTCGAAAAGTTCTGAAAATGGAAACTAACCAGCCGCTCAATATTTACCGTAAAATCGATATGCGCATGTCAATTTCTGGTTATGCAATACGCATATCGCTTTAGCATGAAATACTCCTTTCGAGCATATCGAATTTACGGGGGCGCTTATCAAGTTAAAACTGATATTACATAATGTAAAATCGATCTACATTTAATATCGATTTTTTTTTTGGTTTTGGTATTTCTATACAAATTACTTTACTTAAATTAATTAATTTAAACATTAAAGTAAAAGTATTAAATATTTGTATGTATTTTGCACAGAAAAATCTCACCTTTTTTGCACATAAAATGTAATATTATAATCGGTGGTTCTGACGCACACGAAAAAGTTTTTAAAAATGTATTTTTGATAATTTAAAAACAATTTTTTAACGGCTCAATGGCTTTCAATGTTTTCTTTTCAAATTTTGGTTATGGCTTTAATTATTTAATCTGCACCATTAAAAAGTCGTTTCGGTAAATATTTGCAGCCAAAGCAAACACAATAAAATAATCACATTGCTGTAGAAATTTGCTGAAATTTTTATCTGCTTTATTGGGCCTCCTTGTCGACGATAACTGTCTTATCGAGAATTTATTCGGATTTGCGCCTCTTTTGTTGGCGTTAGAATGTTAGATATACATATATTTGAAAATCGAGAGCGACTTAATGTTAAATTTCCTTCCAGCTGCTCCCCAAATCATTAGCATATCACTTACATTGTCTGGGGACTATTTTCGGGACCAGTTTATACTAAAATTCCTTTTGATTTATGCACTTCCCTCCCCTTTGTGGGCATTTCTTTCCGAGATCACTACTTCCGCTCCATCGGTAAATTAAGTTGGAACCATCCTTATAGAAGTACTATGACTATAAATAGCCTGGCGTCTGTTCAAGATCAATGACAAGCGGCGTTGTCTCAAAAGTCTAAAAATAGTGCAGCGGAAAATCCTCAAGATCGTTTTTCACACTCCAATCGGAGTTTTGTGTGGTCGGAAATGGTTTTCAAGATCAATCGTAGGGAATTCGCGCAGAGGGAAGGAACAAACTGGGAACTGTTTAGAAATAAACGAGGCATCTAAAGGTATAACAATAATTTGTAGGATTTTCTTTTTTAGGAATTTCATTGCTTTTGGGTTTTTAATTTTTGCTAATTCTTGAACCTTTCGGTATAAATATAGGATAAAAGGGAAATAATATTAGTATTTGGGATAGTTCTTATTTTTAGGATTTTATTTGGTTTTGGTTTTCATGGTTTTGGCATTCTTAAATCTTAAAATAGTATCAAAAATATTAAAATAATTATTATACCAAAATATCTAGATGATTTATAGAAAATTTTGACTTTACTGGGTTTCTAGATTCACTGATCTATGGAAACCGAAACAATTTGTGGTCTTTGGGATAATTATTATTTTTAGGTTTTTATTTTTGGCATTCTTGAAATAGTATCAAAAAATATTTAAAATAATAATTATATCAAAATATCTAGATGATTTGTATACTTTACTGGTTTTCTGGATTCACTGATCTATGGAAATCGAGACTATTTTTGGTCTTTGGGATAATTATTTTGTTTAGGATTTTATTTTTGATTTATTTTATTTTGATTTTAATTTTTGGCATTCTCGAAACTTAAAATAATTTCAAAAAAATCTATATAATTATATATAAACTCAACTGGTTTTCTAGATTCACTGATCTATAAACCCGAAACAATTTGTGGTCTAACAATCTCTGCTGTGTTTTTTAAATATTTTTCTACTAACCCCCAGGGGATTGGGATACTTTTTGGATACCCTAGCCAACCAACCAATTAACCAATCGATCATCTCTTTTGGCAATCCCCTCTAGCAACCTGCTGCGATCGCTGGGCACCACCTCCAAGCTCCTAGGCGAAGCCATCGGCGAGCGGATCACGTTCAAGGCCAAGGGAGCCAAGAAGCGGCTGGACAGGAACCTCAAGAGCTCCACGGAGGCGATCAGCACGATCAGCGCGGACGCCGGTCGGAGTTTGAAGCACGCGGGCAAGAGATTCGGCTCCAATTTCAGTCTGGGCAGGAGCAGGGCGGACAAGGCAGAGCAGCAGCAGCAGCAGGATCAGGCAGCCGACGAAATGGATCTGGACAGGCGGCGGACGATGCCCAATACGGAGGTCTTCAGTGCTATTCAGTTCTCGAGCCCCCTGAACCGCAACGGAGGTCTCTCCGATCTGCGGGAAGGCAAGCTGCCCAAGGAGGAGCAGAAGAAGAAGGAGCAGGAGGATCAGCAGGACGACGACGGCTGCTATGAGGTGCCCAAGGCGCAGGGCAAGCCGCCCAGCTACGACGAGGCTCTGCGCTCCAGGAGCAGCCCGCCCATGCCCGCCTTTCCGCCGCCCCGCCTCTCCCAGCAGCCGGAACAGTTCCGTTTGGACGCACTGCAGCCGCCGGTGCGGCAGAAGCGTCGCAAGAACTACGAGCACATCGAGCTGCGCCGCCAGCCCGTCGATTCCGCCCAGCTGGAGGAGCTCAATCGGGCGGCGGAGCTTGCGGAGCGCGAGGAATCCCTGCTGATCTCGGCCAAGAATGCCGAGGAGGAGGCCAAGGCACCCAAGCCGGAACGCAGCGACTCCTGGGAGTTCTACAATGAAGATAACGAGGAGGAGGAGGATGAGGATGAAGAGGAGGACGAGCCGTTGTACGCCAACCAGGAGGCCACCTACGGCAGGCTCTTCGAGAGCAGCAGTCGCAGCAATGTGCTCACACCCAACCAGGTGGTGGAGCAGCTGTCCTGCATCAGCGAGGATTCAGAGCTAGATGGAGCCGTTGGCGGTGTGGCGATGCCCCTCCCGCAATCGCTCATTGAGGAATTCGATCCGCTGTGCGGGAAGAGCTCCTCCGGCTCCTCCACGCTGGCCAGGTCGAACAAGAGCAACGAGCTGCTGCTGCTGGAGCATCTGCTCGAGGAGGACACCTACGGCACGGTGAAGGCGGAGCAGGATGACGTGAGCATGTGCACCTCCGAGGAGGAGCCAGCCAGCTCGAAGTCGCCGCAGATCGTCCACCAGAATGCCCGGCTGCTGAGCGAGAGCATGGAGAACATGCTGGACGAGCAGCGGGCGCGTCCCTATCTCAGTCGAATGCCAGCGGAGGCGGAGGCGGAGGAGAGACCCAAGGAAGGGTCCATTGCCTCGCGGAATCGCACCAATTGGTTTGTGCCCGAGAAGGACAAACCAACAACCATCGAGGGCGACAGTCCACCCACTTACCTGGAGGCCATTGGAAGTGGCAAGGAATCATCATCTCCTGGCAGTCAAGAGAATCGCTCGCTCTTCCGCCAGACCATGAACGCCATCTCCAATGTGAAGCTGCGCATGGATGCGATGAAGCGGAAGGCCAGCTTCCGCGCTCAATCGGGAAATCAGCGGCAATCGGAGGTTCGGGTGGCCCTCCAGATGGTCCCGCGTCCCAGTCTGTCGCCCCTGCTCGTCCGCTACGAGGGTCCGCTGGTGCGCTTTCCCTCGGGCGTCGTCGAGGACATTCTGAAGGAGATGCAGAACCGCAAGGCCATACTGAGGGAGCGACAATTCCAGACCTTCCTCGACCAGGAGATGAAGACGCCGCGCGAGATGATACCTTTGGATGCCATCACCACGCTGCAGTGCGTGAGCAATAGCCGGGTCACGGATACGGCCACACATTTCTACTGCTTCGAGATCACCACGTCGCAGCCGAAGAACGGAGGAGGAGCGAATGGAGGAGCAGGAGGGGGCATGGACAGCATGTCCTCCAATCCCAATCTACTCATGACCAGCAGCTCGTCGGGCAATGTAAAGCAGCAGAGGGTATCGCATTTGTATGGCGTCGGCAAGGAGTCGGAGCGCGGCGTCTGGATGCAGAAGATCCTCGAGAGCCTCACGAACAGCCTGCCGGTGAAGTACACGTGCCACTACTATCGCGCCGGCTGGTGTTACCTCAAGAACTCCATCACCTCGGAGTGGAGCGGCACCTGGCTGGTGCTTCGCAAGAGCCAGCGACGCCTGATCTTCGTCACCGAGGCCAATGGCAATGTGGAGAAGATGGATCTGCGCAAGGCCCGCTGCATAGGTAAGGAATCCTTGAATATACCTACATAATTTAAACAAAATTTTTCCTAAAGAATTCGCGGTCTTATTTTATTCACGCATAAATAAATTAAATATTACTTAATAGTTGAAAGTGTGAATTGATGGTTTCATAGAAATCCATTTTGATTTCCTAGTTCTGAAGAATTTGCGGTGAATTAATTTGATATTTTTGCAATTTACCTTTTTTCTAAAGAACTTGCGGTCTTATTTTATTCACGAATAAATATTTTGTTTTTGAATCCATATTGATTTCCTTCTTCTGAATAATTTGCGGTTGTTTTTTTAACAGTAGTTTGAAATTTATATAAGTTAATATTATTTAATGTCACATTTACATTCTGTAGTATCAAAAATGTAGGTATATTATAAGATTACATTATAAGAGGTATAAAATTAATATTGATCTTATATTTAATCGTTGTTCTGAAGAATTTGCGGCTGAATTCTTCTCTTTTTTGTCAGTAAATCGAAAAATAGTCGTAGGTATATATTATAAGATTACATATCAAATTGATCTTGATCCTACCTTTTAATCCCTTCGCCCAAACAGTGCTGAAGGAGAGCGACGACTCGATTGACAATCTGCACGTGGAGAGCGGTCCCATGCTGATGATCGACTGCCCGCCGTACGCGGTCTATATGATCATGAGCTCCGCTCGGGAGACGAAGATCTGGCGGCACATCATCCGCGAGGTGGCCCACAACAATGGCTTCTCGCTGGGCGACCAGCAGCTGACGCGCTACGATGTGCCCGTGATAGTGGACAAGTGCATCAACTTTGTGTACATCCACGGCTCCATGTCGGAGGGCATTTACCGCAAGTCCGGCTCGGAGAACTCCATGCACAAGCTGATGAGCGCCTTCCGGGCGGACGCCTTCAATGTGGAGATCACCCGGAACGAGTACAACGAGCACGACGTGGCCAATGTCTTGAAGCGCTTCATGCGCGACCTGCCCGAACGGCTGCTGGGCAAGCTGACGGATAGCTTTGTCTTCGTCACGGAGCTGGCGGTGGCCACCGAGAAGATACCGATCTACCGGGAGCTCCTCGGCCGACTCTCGGCCATCGAGCGCGAAACGCTGCGCAAGATTGTGGGCCACCTGGTGTTCATCAGTTCGCAGCAGGCCAAGAACAAGATGAGCGTCCAGAATCTGACCATGATCTGGGGTCCCACGCTGCTGGCCAAGAAGGTAAGTGTAATAATAATAATATAATTATTGTCAAGTATATGGGGATCTCATTTAATGAAACTTTCCTCAGAGTGCTATAAAAATATAAACAGTTTTTTATGCATTGCACTTAAATAATTTACAACAAAAGTCATACAAATTATATTATATTTGCTTTTAATTTTTTCAATCATTTTTTGACATTTATGTTTTAGTTTTGTATTTTTTATGTTTAAAACGAAAACTTACAGTTGTGACTTTTTAATAAATCTCCCGAATAACTGTTAGTGAAATAAATCAAAACCAAGTTTAATGAGTATTTCAATTTTACTAATACGTTTCCCAATATCCTAACTGAATCCATAGAGCGACGAGCTTATCTACTCGCAGAAGGAGGCCGATGTTCTAAGCGATCTGATAGTGCTCTACAAGAATCTATTCCCCTGCAGTGCCGATGAAATGGTGAGCTAATTACTCGACTTTACCCAAAAAAAAAATGTATATGAATCGATGATCAATTTGATATGATGTGGTATCAATTTTGACTTGATAACTTAAGCGCTATCTCGCTCTATTACAAATTTAGAGGGTCTTACTCTCTATTTCAAGGTCAAAATAAATCCTAGCAAAATGTTATTACTTAATATCAATTTTACTAGTATTGCATGGTAAAAACTATATGTACTGGCGTATTATTTTGTGTGTACCTACAAAAGATTTAAATTTCATTTAGAAACGGGAGCAGGCCATGCTGGCATGTCTGCAGAAGTATTATGCGGCTGCCGAGACGCTAAAAGATGCAGTGAAACAGTCCGGGGACATCAAGATCTGGATCAGCCTGAATCCCAATCCTGACAACAAAACAGAGGTGGGATTTTATAATTATATATATAACATTTAATTACATATTTATCTGAGCAGGAGAAGACGCAAGTGAACGCCACCATTTCGCCGACGAAGACCGCCTACGAGCTGTGCCGCGAGTACTCGGCCAAGATGCAGCTGCCCACCCACCAGTTGACCCTGTACGAGGTGATTCTCAACGACAGCCTGGAGCGACCGCTGCACCACGACACCAGGGTGTTCGATGTGATCCTCAACTGGTCCTATTGGCCGGAGGAGGATCGCAAGCACAACTATTTGGTGGTGCGACCGGTCGAGATGCTGCGCGAAATCCAGCGGGCGGTGAAGAATCTGGCCACCGTGACGCCCGGCAAGGAGCTGCGCTTCGCCGACTCGCGAACGAAGACCTTCAAGACGCTGCAGTGCGAGCTGCGGGACGGGAAGATAGTGGTGTCCAAGAAGGACAAGAGCGACAAGACGACCATTGTGCGGGAGGTCTTCCTCCAGAGCAGCACGGCCTATTTGGGCTGCGAGCGCAAGCGCGACTTCCCCTGGAGCTGGGCCATCACCTTTGTGGAGCGCACGCAGGCGCAGATCATGAGGTGGGTGATTGGTCATCAGAGTTCAATTCCTGGTTCAATTCAATAATAATATTCCCGCATCCAAAGGTCACGCGATGCTCCGTTCATTGGCCACGTTTTGGCGGGCAGCGAGTGGGTGGATCGAACCATCTGGTACTCCAGCATCTGGTACTGCCTGCACGGGGACAACATCCTGCCGCCGGCGGAGATCATCATTAAGTAGATCTAGTAGTTTTCCACTTCTTGTGCATTTTTCTGTAGATATTCTGAATTTATTTGCAATAATTAGGGCAATATATCCAATATTTTTACGAGAGTTTTCCGATATATCGAATAGGTTTAGCCAACGAAAGTACTACTATTTTTTTTTTTACAACATTTTTGTGTATATAACCATGTTCTCTCAAAACCCAAATTGTACATAACCTTAAGGAATTTAAATTTGTATCATTAAGTATATGCCATTTGTCTTCAACATAGCTCGTTTTCTGGACTATCTAGCGTTTTAGTAGATAAAACGAGAAACTAACTAACAGTTAGACACGGCCACGCAGAGCATCAAATTTTAGCCTAGTTAATGTTTTCGTAATATCTGTAATGTAATTTTTATACGTACTCGTAATCGACCCAATTGGTTTTGCATTTATGTATTGTGTTTATTTACATACGAAGCCATTCAATTGATTGTCTAGACAACCCAGAGTTTAATAGTAAAAAATATAACTATTTACAAATATTTCGTGAGAATACCCCTTGTGTTTCTTTATCACTTTTTTTCCCATTTCTATTGTTACGGCAAAAACAGTGATATTTGAGGATGGAAAATGTGGATTCGAATTTTCGACGAAAATAAACTTTTTTTTATGGTTTTTTAGTCGTAGCTTGGACAAATTAAGGCCTACAGATAAAAGACCGACTGTCCCGAACAGCTAACAACCCAAACTAACGATCCCCATCGCTTTCTGGGAAATTTATTTTTTGATCGATTTTCGCATTTTTGATAAGGGGTTACGTCACGATTTTTTTAAAAAAAATGACAAAATTTAAAAATTTCTAGGTTTGAATGCCAATCGATTGGGAATTTAATAACGAGTTCAACGAGGTATGACATTCCACATTTGGACCATTATTTACATTTTTATGGCCAAAATACTGATATTTTAGGATGGAAATATGGATTCGACTAAAATAATTTTTTTTTGTAGTTTTTCAGACGTAATTTGGACAAATCAAGGCCCACAGAAAAAAGACCGACTGTTTCGAACAGCTAACAACCTAAACTAACGATCCTCATCACTTTCTGGGAAATTTATTTTTTGATCAATTTTCGCATTTTTGATAAGGGGTAACATCACAATTTTTTGAAAAAAATGACAAAATTTAAAAATTTCTAGGTTTGAATGCCAATCGATTGGGAATTTAATAACGAGTTCAACGAGGTATGACATTCCACATTTGGACCATTATTTCCCTTTTTATGGCCAAAATACTGAAATTTTAGGGTGGAAAATATGGATTCTAATTTTCGACGAAAATAACCTTTTTTGTGGTTTTTTGGTCGTAATTTGGACAAATCAAGGCCGTTAGTTAAAATACCGACTGTTTTGAGCAGCTATTGATCTAAACTAACGATCCCCATTACTTTCAGGGAAATTCATTTTATGATAAATTTTCGCTTTTTTGATAAGGGGTAACATCAAAATTTTTTGCAAAAAAAAGCAAAAATTAAAAATTTCTAGGTTTGAATGCCAAACGATTGGGAATTTAATTACGAGTTCATCGAGGTATGAACCTCCATATTTGGATCATTATTTCCATTGTTACGGCAAAAACAGTGATATTTGAGGATGGAAAATGTGGATTCGAATTTTCGACGAAAATAATCCTTTCTTTATGGTATTTTAGTCGTAGCTTGGACAAATCAAGGCCCACAGCTAAAAGAACAACTGTTCCGAACAGCTAACAACCTAAACTAACTATCACTTTCTGGATGTAGATCTGTATTTTCCAAAATTATGAATTTCTTAATCAACAAAAATGATGGTTTTTCCAACTGTAACATAGTCACCTGACCAATTAAAAACGCACAACACTCTTCTTGAATATCACTAAAATTTTGCAAACTTTGCATTTTATTTCTGTTGTTTCTTTTTTTTTGCTGTTTCATTTTGAAGATTTACTTTTTCAAGAACATTTATTTTTTGCTTTTTGCTAGAACTTCACATACATAGTCGATTTTGTTGTTTGTTGTACAATACATAAAAAGAAATATGCGTGTTATGTATCTATAATATATATATATATACGCTTGTTAATATGTAAATATATAGTCGTATAGGGTGTTAAGTATATTGATCAAGTAAACATGATGACTATTTTAACTGCGTTCCTTGGGTTGGATTGAGATGGGGTAGAAAAGCGGGGGGCTCTGGAAGAGAGGGCGATTGTGTGGGCTATGGATAAGTGGATTGGTCGGGCGACTACGAATCTAAACTTCTGCTTGAAGGGGGGACAACAAATTTCGGGTATACTCTTAAGCGGTATCAATATTTTTACACTAACTAAATGTACAAATCAACAAACGCCAAAAATAGGACCTCAACATGGTTAGGATCATCGGCACTCAAAGATCGGGACTATATATACATCGAGTGGGGCCGCGCGAGCGAGACAAAAGATAGAGAGAGAGCAGGACTTGCATATTTTGTTGCTTTTATTTCAACGTAGCTTTGCTTCCTTCAGCTGCTGCGACATTTGAAGTGCTGGGCAAAAGTCTAACCTAGTCGTTATATATTTAGCATATGATATTATATATATATATATAACTAGAGGAGGGCGCTGAGCCGCTCAAACTATCAACAAGTATTCTAAGGTTAGTTCAAAAAAAAAATCATAATAATATTTTAATGAATTAATATTAATTAATAAGAAGAAAGTTGGACAATCGTTGCAATTGTCGATTGGGGGCCGCTGCTGGACAGGATTTGGTGGTGGTGATGGTGGCGTGTTCGTGGTTTGTGGATGGTGTTGGATGTTTGATGTTGGATGAGTGGGCGCTTCTTCCAAAACGGACAAGTAGTAAAATGCTTAGACGTATAAATAGGCTCTCCTAATGTTAGTATGTAATAATCACATTGACTGCCGCCGCCGCCGCCGCCTGCTCCTTTATCGTAACTGTAATCGTCATCATGATCATCGTCTGCGCAGGACTACATGTGATGCCACTGCGTCACCGCCACATTGGTGTTGTCGTTCAGCCGGGCGATCTCCTCGTGCAGCCCATGGCCGAGCCACTGCAGGAAGATCCTGCTGTAGGCCGCCTGGCAGAGTCTCAGCGGATTGCCGCGCCTCAGCCCCTGATCCGTTTCGCCGTACTCATCGAGATACGGCGGCTGGACGAAGCAGCCCTTGCCCCTGCCCAGATAGACCACCTGGCAGTCGCGGATGCGCAGGAAGATACCCACCTCCGCGCCGCAGGCGTGCGCATGATGTGTGCACGCGCCCACCGACATCTTGCCCAGCTCCGGCTGGCAGCAGTACGACTGGCCGCAGAGGATCGAGCCGCAGATCAGACACATTGTCGGCGTCTTCATCTCCTCGCGCTCGTTGTTCGGGCAGAAGATGTCCGACACGCTGTTGATCAGATCGCTGTAGTCGTCGTACAGCGGCTTCAAACGCGGCAGCGGTCGCAGGCAGGGCTCCAGTTGGAGGCAGCGACGCACCTCCTCCGGCTGGCCGCGCTGCTCTATTTCGCGTCCAATGTGCGGATGCGAGGCGAACGAGTGCATCATCGTGGCGTACACCGTCTCCATGTCAAAGTACACGCCCAGCTGGGGCTCGAGGCCCAAATACTGGCACATTAGCTCGAAGCGATCCGGCTGGTCAGTGGGAAACGTGTCCGGGAAGTCGATGTCGGTGAGGCAGCGGTAGAAGAGGCAGGCGCAGCGCAGGAAGGAGCTCATCTGACGCTGCACGTACTCGAGCAGCAGGGCCAAGTGATGCGGTTCGCAGGGTATGACAACAGTCGTCTGCTGCTGCTGTTGATCTCCTTCCTTCTGCTGCTCCTCGGCCAGCTGCTTCTGCTTGCTCGCCTGCAGCACTCTGGCCGCAATGTTGTAGCGGCGATAGAAGGCCACCATATTGTCACGGATCCTGGCCGGCAGCTGCTCCACGTAGGCCAGTTGCGTGAGCTCGGCATGGCCTGGCCGCTTGGCCTGCTCCCGGTCCACATCGAAGCAGAGGACCGCCTTGGTCAGCTGGGCCAGGAACATGGTCTGCAGGATGTAGAAGTCGAACATGCTGCCGCTGGGTATGACGGTTTGGTTGGCTACAAAAGGAAAAGCGGTGGTAAAAACGGTGGGCGGATGAGGATCAGAGGGTTCGGAAATTAACACACGTGTTAAAAACATTATAAATTGTATTTTACAGTGTAAAAATGTGAAAAATAATTGTTAGCACACACAGCTCACTTGTGTTTTTTACACAATGTGTTATTAACACGAAGTGTTTTTAACACAGATGAAAATTACATTCCCCATACTCTAGAAAACCGTGTAATTTTAATTTCAACATACAATTCAAACACTTTAATGTGAAAAACTCATTGTGTTAAAAACACGCTGAGTAAAAAACACAAATGACATGTGTGTGTTATTTATGTTTCTAACGTATGTAGGATACAATTTTTTACACACAAGGTGTTGACATGTGTGTCAAATACAAAAGTGTAAAGACACGCTGAGTAAAAAACACGTCGTGTAAAAATAACACAAATTTCTAACATATGTAGGACACAATTTTGTACACACAAGTTGTTGACACGTGTGTCAAATACAAGTGTAAAAATGTGAAAAATAATTGTTCTCTTGTGTTTTTTACACGATGTGTTACTAGAAAACCGTGTAATTTTCAGTTCAACATACAATTCAAACACTTTAATGTGAAAAACTCATTGTGTTAAAAACACGCTGAGTAAAAAACACGTCGTGTAAATAACACAAATGACAAGTGTGTGTTATTTATGTTTCTAACATATGTGGGATACAATTTTTTACATTTTAACAAGTTTTTTAAACAGTGCGTGTTACTTTCCGAAGCCTTTTGATGCTAAAGCATTCACTCACCACTCTCGGCGGTCATCAGATTGAGGACGCCAAACTGCAGCGGCACCAGCTTGCGGAAGCAGTCCCACTCGAGCACACTGCTGCCCTTCTGGTTGAAGATCTCGTTCAGCAGCCGGGCGGAGTACTCCGCCTGCAGGCGCAGCGACGGCGACAACGGAATCTCGCCCAGCTCCAGTTCAAAGTTGCAGCGCGAGGCGGCGAAGCGGGAGCAGGCGCGCACCAGATTGATGGCGCAGCTCTGGTGGCGCATAGGGAGTTCGGCCTTCAGCGGCTTCTGCACCTCGAACAGATAGATCTCGAGCGCCTGCAGCGTGTAGCTGCATGTGTCCCAGAGCAGCGGCACCAGCTCGATGCTATCGGGATCTAGGGTGGCTGTTCCAGTGCTGGTTCCTTGCTGCTCCTTCAGATGCGACTGCTGGCTCTGCCGGGCATTTAGCAGCGCCTTGCTGAGGAAGGCCATCACATCGCTGTAGTTGGCGTGCAGCTTGGGCGGATCCCGGATGAGCTGAACGCTCCGCTCGAACTGCGCCATGTCGCCAACCACGCCGGATTTACGCAAAATGCCGGCGACGCTGGGAAACTGGCACATCTCCTCGTCCCTCATGGCGCCCAAATCGGCGGCCAAAGTGCGCATGATCTCGACGAAGCTGTCCAGCGGCAGATAGCTATCGCTGGCCGAGGGAGCTGGCGAGAAGGCGGGCAGCGCCTCGGTCACCGGGAGCACGGTGTTGCTCAGCGTCCGGCAATACGGACAGTGGAACTCGACGTTGTGCGCCTGGCTGAGGGCCACGCGATTGCGGTGCGGACGCCGCTGCTCCTTGGACTCCTCGTTGCTGTAGTACTCCTGCCAGCAGCTGTGGTGCATCACATGGCCGCAGCAGCTCATGTGCAGGGCGCTCGGCCCTGCGCGCATATTTGGCGTGGTGAAGATCACCCGCGAGGTCTGGACAAAGGCGGAGCTGACCAACGGCGGACCGCTGCGGCTGATGGCGCAGTTCTCGAAGCACAAAATGCACTTGAAGTTCGCCTCGCTGCCCTGGTAGATTTTGCGCTCCGGCCCCAGACAGGCCACCACCGTGGGCCTGAGGGCCACCGCTCCCTGTTCCTGCTCCTGTCCATCATCCTGCGCCGCCTCCTCACCCTCGGCGGGTATATCCTCCCACTCCATGGCACCCGTACTACCACTTGTCTCCTTCTCACTGGCCGCAAACATCTCGGCATTGCTCTTCATGAACGACTTCTGGGCACTCTGCATCTGAGCCATGATCTTGGCCCGCCGCTCGGCCGCCAAACGGGCGCGTATCTCCTTCTCCTGGCGCGCCTGCTCCTCGGAGCTGAGCGGCTGCTCCTCCGAGGCTCCGCCGCCGCCGCTGCATTGCTGGGAGCCACTGGGCTGGGAGTCGCTGGGCGCCTGCTTGGCCTGCAGCTCCTTGTACCGCTTGATGGTCCACACGACAAAGTCGCGATGAGCCTCCAACTAAGCGATAATAAGTATGAATTATTCTCTATTTTTTATACACTTGCAGAGGCTATTTAGGCTATGATTTCAGTCGAAAGTTTGCAATGCAGTGAAGAAGATGTTTCCGACCCCATAAAGACCTCAGATTTAGCATTTTTGCATATTTTTACAGGAAAAAGATAAATCGGACGACTATATCATATAGCTGCCATGGGAACGATCGGAAAATTAATGGGAATATAATAGGAAATAAATTGTAGCTTCTTTGGCTTTTGTTGTATTCTCTTCTACTCTATTAAATATTTCTATTAAATATTTCAAAATCGAATTACTATATTATAAAGCTGGATAAAGAAGGATCGAAAAATTCATGAGAAATAATTGAAAATTTAACGTTTTTGCGATTGATTAATTTATAGGAATGATCTGCAAGGGTATATAAGCATCGGCTGGCCGAAGCTGTTGTTTCAAAATACTTTCGACTCACCCTGGGACAGCGGGCGAGATCGTCCAGCTTCTCGAGGATTCCGTAGTGCTGGGAGCGCTCGTAGAAGCTCAAGAAGGGATAGTGCTCGCTCAGCTCCTCCTGGATGGCGAAGCCCAGCAGGTGGAGGATCTATTGCGGGTGATAAATATAAAATAAAATGAGACGTAAGTCATGCGATGTGGTGGCTTACCTTCTGGAGATGCGATTCGGTGAAGGAGCGACTGCGTGCGTCCAAGGCCCGTTCCATGACCAAAGTGCAGATGCTGAGGAACACGTTGCACTGCAGTATGTTCGCCATGGATCTGTAGCAATATATACATGGATAAATTAGGGGTCTATACTATATACGACGACCACGACTCACGTAAAGGCCGGCGTCAATTGCGGCAGCATCGGCGGCGGGCAGCAGACGAGCTGCTTCTTGGCCTTGCGCCGCTCCCGCTGCAGCTCCTCGGCCTTGGACTTGTCCTCCTTGGTGTAGTGATAGAAGTACACGTTGAACTCCTCGAACAGATGCTCCTTCAGCTCGTAGACGCCCTTGGACTCGACGCCCACGGGCTTCTTGAAGACGGCCACCGTGTTGATGACGTCCTCGAATATGTTGTCGCTATTCCCGCTATTGCCGTCCGGCAGCGCGCGACTCAGCTCCGAATGCGAATAGGATTTGGTGCACAGCAGCTGGATGATCTCCTTGCGCAGCCGGTCCTCCTCCGTCACCATCGATACGCCCGGCATCCAACGCTCGCCGATGATGACGATCAGCAGCTCGAGGAACTCGTCAATCATCGACAGCTGTCGCATGAACTCATCGTCCACCGGACTCTCGGCCAGCATCGTTTCGTACGTGGCCTGCGCCCAGGCAATCAGATTGAATTTGTTGAGCACATGAATCAGAAACTCGTTGCTCTCCATCAGCGAGGCGCCAATTTGCAGGCAAACAATATCCCTGTCCAGCATCTCGACGCGGCAGCGAACGTTGCGATAGAAGTAGAGCTGGTGCAGCAGCGAGTAGCCATTGCGACGCCACATTCCGGCGGCCACCTGGGCGATCATCGCATGCGTGCACAGCACCGGCTCGATAATCTCCCTGGGCGTCAGCTTGATGCTCAGCGCCTCCGTTTCGGTCTGCAGGCTGTCGTAGGTCATCTCGTGGGCGCCCAGATGCAGATAGATGCCGGCATAGAAGCGCGACAGCGGCAAATGAATCGATACCGGCTTAACCGACACATCGTACATCAAACAGTTGGCCACATGGCCAGCGACACTGCGCGTTTCGGTCTTCTCGCCACCCACAATGAAGCTGTTGCTCACCAGCGCTCGCACCGTCATCTTGTACAGCTTGCGCAGCAGCTTCACATCCCCGGCCGCCCACTCGATCACCTGCGAAATGGTGGTGGCCAGCTTGATGTGCAGATTGAAGGCGCACTCCCACTCCGGCTCGTAGTCCATGTGCTGGCCCGTCTGCCGCGTGATCGACTCCATGCCCTGCATAACGTTTAGCACGCGCATCAGCGCACGGCAGCCTGTAATATAAATTATACTTGTTAAATAGATCGATCACACAACTAACTGCCTTCTCACCTTCTAGGAATCCGCTGCGCAGATCGTTGTTCAGCAGCTCCGGCTTCAAACTGAGCAGATAGCGCAGATCGTACAGGATGTAGTTGGCCCGCTTGAAGAAGGTCAAACTGGCGATGTTCTTGCTAAAGTGCAGCGTCTTGTTCTGTATGAACTTCTCGATGGCCACGTGGTAGAAGGTGTGCAGCAGCTTGTCGAAGATGCCCTCGTGGGCGATCAGATGATGGGCAATGCTGGGCACCGTGAACAGCTGAACGCTGAGCGAGACAATCGAGAAGGCATGGTCGTGATCGTCGCTGATAAAGTCCTCGACAATGGTGGCGTAGCGACGCGAGAACTCCTGGGCCAGCACCATCTTGTTGTCGTACTCCATCAGCATGCCGGAGATGAGGAGGCGGTGCCAGCAGGTGCGCGCCGTCTTCCACAGCTTCACGTCGTACTCGAGTATGTGGCGGATGCAGAAGGCCTCCTGCTTGCGCTGCACCAGCTCGGCGAAGGTCTTGCGGAAGAGGTAGTGGCGCACCAGGAACTCCTGGAACCAGCCGAGCAGCTGCAGGGCAAACTGCTGGCAGGCCACGGCCCCAATGTGCAGCACCGATGTCCTTAGCGACTGGTTGTTGCGCGGATTCGTCAGCAGCGCGGTCGCCGGGATCATTTGATTCTCGATGGCTGTTTTCAGGTCGTTGCACTCCTACAAAAATTCAAATTAAATATTAATATATAATATATAAATCAGGGTTCGGAGAATAACACCCACTGTGTAGAAAACTTGTGTTATTAACATGTTCAAAAAAAGTTATTGACATGTGTGTAAAAAATTTCTGCTTACATATGTTAGAAACATAAAAAACACATGACGTATTTTTTACACAACGCGTTTTTTACACAACGTGTTTTTAACACAATGAGTTTTTGACGTTAAAAAGTCAGATATATATGCTTTGAAACGGCTAAAAATAACAATTAAGATATCTATTGTTTCTTAATTTTCCCTTCGATTCGTTAATGTCCATAAAATGTAATTTTCATTTGTGTTAAAAACACAGTGTGTAAAAAACACGTCGTGTTAATAACACATTGTGTAAAAAACACAATTTTTTTTCATATTCTAACACTTTTGCTTTCGACACACATGTCAAAAACTTTGCTCACACTGTAAAATACAATTTAACATGTTTTTAACATGTGTGATAAACTCCGAACCCAGATATAAATACTAAGCCGCACCTTAAAGGTATCGCACTTGACCACCGCCCGTCCCTCGCGATCGATCGCCGCCACAATCTCCATGGCGTCCTTGTGCTTGCACTTGGCGATCTTGGTCAGCGTCTGGATGACCTGATCGAACGTGTGCGACTCGTCGTTGTAGAGCACCGTGCAGTACTGCGCCCCATCCACCTGGCCGCCTTCGACATTCCCGTCGAGGCACTGCAGACTGGCGTTCGGCTCGATCTCCAGGTAGTTGACGCAGAAGGCCAGGATCGCACCAAAGCAGATCTCGGCGCGCTCGAGCACGGCGTCGGTTAGGATCTTGCTCTCCAGCGGATTCTTGCGATTTGCCTGAGGGAATAAGCGTGGGTTTATCAGGATTATTTTTTATAGGTTTCTTGCACAACTACTAACCAGATGCAGCTGACAGTAGTGATCCTTCTTCCAGGCCTCGTCGTCGCCGCAGTCGCAGCAACCGCCGCCGCCGGAGGTGGACATCTTGTACTTGTGGAAGCGATGCGCCGAGCGCTTGAAGCAATTGACGCAGAGCACGCAGGTGGGATCGACGCCGCACTCGCGGCAACTGTAGGTGGGCTCACCGTTCTTGAAGACCTTGCCGCAAACGGTGGCCGTGTTGCCCTCCAGCCGGAGCTTCTCCAGTGCGGAGGCGGGATTGTCGCCCAGCATGAACTCGACCAGGACATCGATGATCTCCTCCTTGGCCAGCGCCTCCTTGAACATGCACTTGACTGGAAGCAGAGGATTATTATAAGTAATTAAATGATTAAGATTAATTGATCAATTGAAGTGTCCTCTCGATAATAATCCCTGGTAATCAATCCTAGCTGGTAACTCCGGACTTACGGGAGCCACGGATCGGACCTTGCTTGCTCTGCTGCAGCCGCTTGATCTCCGGCACCAGGTTCGCGTGATGATGGGTCAACTGGAAGAGCACGCCGATGCGCAGGTTATCCGATTGCGAAACCCGATGGCGCCCGCCCATCATATAGTTCACCCCGCGACAGCCCGCTCGTTGGGAATGGATTGGATTGGATTTAATGGAGGGGATTTGATGGTTGGATTGATTGATGGATTGATTGATTGATGAGTTAAGGAGGTGAGGAGGTGGAAGGGCAACGATTAGTGCGAGTCTGTCTAGATCTAATCTGATTAAGTGTGTATTTTTGTGCGTTTTCAAATTTGTTTTGTTATGATATTTAGGTATTCAGGTCTTTGGGGCTTCAAGAAAGTCTCCAGCAAAGTTCCTTCCGGAACTCTATATATCTTTTATACTCACGAGTAAGCGCATTGGTATCTGCAAGAATACAACAAAATATACATGAATCAGTGAAAAATGCATAATAATATCATAATATCATATCAAAATCCCTTTTGTAACCCCTTTTCTATAGCATTTATAAATACTATAATATATTTATCACAGCTAACAATTTTATTAAGGGTGTTTTTTTTTGGTCAGGTGAAATTCTAGATGGCTCCAAAGAATAAATGAAGATTATAAATAAACATTCTGATTCACACATAAGCGAATCGTCATCTTTTTGGGGCCGTGAGTAGTGAGTAATGCAATCGCGATCATAGCCAGGCTAAAATATCATTTAAATGTTTAGAACAGGTCGAACCGCACCGCATGGAGATAATGATAATGATCGTGATCGTGATCATGATCATGATCCCCACTACATATATTAACATTATCGACCGCAAAATACGAAGACAAGAGAAACCTTCGGGCCAAACGAGTTTTTGCAACGCAACCAGAAAAACCAAATAAAATCAAGGCACACAAACCGAATTCGAATTCCGATTCAAATGCAAATACAATGAAAATACAAATACAAAACAATTAAAATTACAATTACAACAAATGCAGTTCAAGGTCGCCACAATCGCTGTAAAAACTCTGCAGCGCAGAATCGAAAAATCAAAATCAAAAGCGATAAGTTTCCATTATAATCTATTATCAACGCATCAGTAGAAAATAAAACGGCACATATCGACTGGAGTAAATAATAACGATAGTATGGAAAATTCTAGGAATAGCAGTCTCTTTAAATCTTGATAACTTGATGTTATCTACACTTATATCCCTGTAATTTCTTTAAAATTTAAAAACTAATGTATTTACCTTATATATATAAAAACGATAGTTAGGAAAGTTCTAGGAGCGTAGTCGTATTATATTATGAAAAGCGGTCTTTAAACCTTGGTTTACTTTATATTAGTTACAGTTATATCGCTGTAATTTCCTTAAATATTTTTAAAATGCCCATGTAAATGCATATATGTAAAAATAAAGATACTATGGAAAGTTCTAGGAGTATATAATATTATGAATACCGGTCCTTAAACTTTGATAACTTGATTTAAGTAATAGATACATCTCTGTAATTTCTTTAAGAATTTCAAAACTAATATCTTGACCTTAGCAATAAATCTAGAGGTATATGGCTGTGCATATAGTGCATATAAAACTGCGTGTGCGTCAGTTTACTGAGGCGTAATAGACTGGAACAAAGAAGGCGTCTGGAAGGGGAAAATTAAAGAAAGAAACAGAAACAAAAACAGAATCGAACTGAACTGAAATGCACTAAATAAAAACTGAACGGAGCTGTCAAGAGAAAGAACATCGAAAAGAGGCCAACTCATCGGCCCCTGAATCACAGCGATTTTCTGTTTTCGGGGGCAACCCACATGCAGTTTTACAGCCAAAAGTAATAATAATAATATTTTACAAATATTTACAAATTTCTTAGATTACAAGAAAAAGGTTATCACAATTATAAAGATTAATAATTACCAAACTGGGAACTCAAATATACCCGTAACAAATATAAACGGGTAGTAAAACCATTTAAGACTCAATTATAATTTATAATCCATAAAACTCTCAAGACAAGACGTCATCGAAAGGTGATTGAATTCAAAATATATGCACAATTTAAACGGAATTGAAATTAATTGCACACATTACACGTACTTACAGGTTCCAGAGAAATGTGATTTTTTGACCATATTTGACAAGGAATTTAATTAACGGCACCCACTGTATTGCACATTTTTCGATACCAAAAACAAAAGGAAACAGTACACAAACTGTCGGAAATTGGGAGGCGAAGACTAAGATGTCATATACATATATATATATGAAAAGAGCCACGAGAGCGCCAACGATCGTTATAAAGAGCATTTGGGTTTCCGTTTCGGTTTTCTGCAAGGGTAGGTGGGCGATCGACCTTATATAAATCACGATAAATACAGACACCCACACCCCTGTAAAACATAATATATGCCTAAAATTGTGTCAGCTGTGTTGTATTTCGCACAAAGAAACGAAAGCGAAAACCGAAAACCGTATGGCAGGTATGAGAAAGAAATACAAGAAAGATATGATATGAACCAATATCTTTCGAAATGACAAAACTGCAGCCGATTTAACCAAAATTTGGTATGATCAAAAATAAATGCAAAATACATCAGTTTCCAACGTTCGAGTTATATTCCTTGAAAATGTATCCAACATTTATAAGCACTGAGAAACGGAGAAACTGCAAAAACTGGACACGTCAGGCGGTTCTGAAGGCCTCTTCAAATATGTGACTGGACCAGATAAACGCAAGTTGAATAAACTGCCGCCAAATACATATTTTTTTTTTGTTATATTTAACTCTCCTCACTCGCCTTCTTATCAGTTGTCAGCCGAAGTCTGAATCTGAATCTGAATCTGTCTGAATCCACCTCCTCATCTTCGTGTTTCGTCATTTCATTTCAACGTAGTGTTTGTTGTAGTCTACGACCAATTAGACAGCGGCAAAATATCAGCAGAAGCTATATATATATATGGGGATGGGGGGCTATAAAGCTATGGCAACCGCAACAACATCGGTTTTAGCCATGACTTCCATATGTTTGGCAGCTGATAAGAAGCGGTAGCCGTAAAAGGGGTAAGAGCACGATTAGCAAAAGCGGAAAGCAAACATGGGAAATGTGGGGAAATTAGCGGAAATGTGAGTGGTATCAAAACACTCCTTTGGGTATTCAAAAAAAGATTGGATGGTCTTTGGATTAGAGATCTATCGAAAAGATCGATTGTGAAAATATAGAAAAATATAGATTGCGAAAATATCGATAGTTTTCAAGCTCTACCTTAAATCTTTAATTCGTTATAAATACAATTTAGTAATGTTTTTCCACAGCAAACAAATATGTCGTTTTCTTGACATTCGATCTATCGAAAAGATCGATTATGAGAATATCAAAAATATAGATTGCGAAAATATCGATAGTTTTCAAGCTCTACCTTAAATCTTTAATTCGTTATAAATACAATTTAGTAATGTTTTACCCACATTTACTCGGGTAGTCCATATTTACCCCTCTCCCACTCCCAATATTGATTTGTATTTCCTAGTTTTCCTATTAAATCAATATGTCATAAACAGAAACCGAAACCGAAACCGAAACTCGACTCCAAATTAGTTATGCCACAAAAGTTTTCCTAGATTCTCCCAATTTGTTTGTTTCACCAGTCGCGCCTTGCCTTTTTAGCTTCGGATAATGTGAACTTCTGGCGGAATGTGGTGCAAACGAGTTTGTTTACTTAATTTATTTGTTGCCAGGCCAGCAGGCCAGGCTTTTGGCTTTTGTTGAATCAACTTGCATGCACTCAGGAAAACGATTATGAATTTACAGCTTCATTTGAATATAAAACCAATATTTAAGCCCTGTTTTATTAATATTCTTGTATAAACATTCATTTTTAGCCTAATTAAAAAATTAAAAAAGATAAATCGAAAACGAAATTGAAACGATGATATTAATACAGCAATTTTTCCGAGTATATCGTGTGCATAGAAGGCGAGACAGGTAGAAAATCGAGAAGGTGGACAGGTGGGCGGTGGGTGGGGGTGGTGTTTAGAGCTTGCAAACTTGGAGAGACAAATTGAAAGGAAAACTTGGCGCAGCAGCAGCAGAGCAACGCGCAGTGGAAAAACAGATTCGCGGAAATGCGAAATAGACAAAACGTGAGAACAACAAATCAACAAAAGCGTGCAATTGTTCAATGGCAATAAACAAAAGACGAAAGCAGAACGAAAATAACACTAAAACAAGCGACGAATAATGATAATTCAAGAGCGAGAGTTTTTTTTTTTGGCCAACTTTTGACGCCCTATCGATTTTGCAATCGTTGATAAAAATGATGTTGTTAAGAATAAAAAATTAATGTTGAACCCCTCCTACCTCTTCTAGATTTATAATACACTAGAGATTTAAAATGAATTTGAAATCCAATTGGAAATATCATCCCCTTTCATTGTTTCAAGTTTTGATAATACGAAATATTGGAACAAGTTCCATGCATTAAGCTATTAAAAAGCAAGGATAGCATTTCTTTGTTATACTGACGTCACAAAGAGCCTATATCTTTGTTCTTTTAATCGAAATAAAATAAATGAAGAGTTAAGTAGAGATTAAAAAAAAAAAAAGCCTAGAAATATGATTATTTTTTATCACTCCGGGATAATAACAACAAACAGCTGTTTGAATCAGCTGAGCGCCATAAGGCAGCCACATATGTAGTTTTGGGTAACCCCACTCTTAGAGGTGCTATGACTTCCCGACTTCCCGACTTCCCCACTCACCTGTCTCCGTACCGCCCGTCTGGTAATCAAAGTACTTGGGCGACTCGCGCTTAAAGAATTCGATAAAATCGGACCGGGCTAGTGTGCCCGCCTGGCGCTTGAGGCGCCACTCCTTGAGCGGCGAACTGCACTCTGCAGGTGGCGCCACCACAACGTCCTCCATGTCGTAGCGATCCATCGTTGCTCTCGCTCTCGCTCTCTCGCACTCGCTGTGGCTCCTGTGCTGCCGTCTCTTTCTGGCCTCCGCGCGTGGGTGTCTTGTTTTGTTGTGTCCTTGTCCTTGTTATTCCTGTGGTTCTGGTACTTGTTGTTGTTGCTGTTGCTGGTCTTGCTGTTGTGCTTGTTGTTGTTGTTGCATTTGTTGTGTTACTTATTTGCCTAAATGTTGCTATGAAAAACTGAGGGGTAAAGAAGCAAAAGGCAAATGATTTAGTTAGGAAAATAAAAATTTTGATTTCGAGCTCACTGCCGCACACACTTACTCCCAATAATTTCTATTTACTACTGTGTAAAATTCACAAAACCTGACAGTTGAATCAAAAGCAAGTCGCAGTTTGTCGCCATGTGTGATTGTTTTTGCATTTGGTTTTTTGGCAGCAAAACAAAAACAAAAAAGAGAGAGAGCGCATGACAGAAGAAAAAAAAGATTAAAAAAAACAATAAACACACACACACACACACACACACACGGCCACTAGTGCTATACTATTTTCGGTTTTATTTTTATAATTATCGTTTATTATCTACGCCTTTTTGTTTTTGAGTTTTTGTGTGCATGGCACTTCAAAAAAATCGCTCTTCTTTTTCTTTATTTTTCCTTTCCGAAAATCCACACACACTCAAACACCCACACACGCACACGCACACAAACTGCGTTTCGCTTTCGTTTTCTCCCCTCCCCGCAACACGCACGTACTTTTCGCTCTTCCGTATGGCTCTTGGGGAATTCACTAGTAATTTACAAAATTTCTTTGTTTATATCTAGCTATTTATACTGGCAGAACGCAAATTTGTCTGCTATTTAACTTTACAATTTCGTAATGAACAATAGGAAGAAGAAGCACTCCGAAGCCATGCGCGCGCATGTGAACGGCGTTGCGATGGTGGAACTGAATAACGATAACGATAACCGATGCAAATATCGATGCACGAAGTTCCCGGAATATCGATGTTTCGAAGCTTGGAAAGGTGAAACCAGTGTTCCCTAAAAAATCTCAAACGGTCCAATTAAATGTTGGAATCATCGGTGTTTGGTTTTTGTCTTCGCTGCAGACATCCAAACATTGAAGCTTCACCAACACTACTTTAATCGATTAATAACGCCATTTTTATGGCTTTTTAAAAATGTTTCCTTTTCGTTTTTTCGAAAACCATTTAAGTTTAATAACTATCTTTAATTTTTGAAAGAATGAATTAGAAATAGAATAGAATAGCTTAAAAGCTTAACAAAACTTACGGGTCTGTACTATGTGTTGTTCAAGTTTCTAGTTTGGCTAGAAATATGTATCTAGAAAATGCCAAAATAAAATGCCCCAGAAAACCTTTCAATTGAAAAACACTTGTTTCTATTTTATTTTGCATACACACAAAAATGTCTTTATTGTTTCGTTTTTTGTTGTTTTTTAGTTTTTAGTTCTTAGTTGCTTTGGATCTCTTTGTTGGTATACTTGTGTCCGGTTGTTGGAAATACACACAATACATAGTTCTGCATACTTTTGTCGCTAAATCTATTTGGATTCGGTTCGGTTTCGATTTCGGTTTCGGCTTGAATACTTTATGCTGAGATGTTGTCTTGAAACCAAATCACTTCGCTAAATACTGTCCAGTTTTGGTCTTTTTTTTAGATGATGTGGCTTTTGGGCTTAACTGAAAACTGAAAAATAGGTTTTCCTTCGTTTCCTTTGTACTTTGGGGAAATGAGTTGTATTTCGTACTTTTTATTTTGTATTTTGTGTTTTGTTGTTAGCTTTGCGTTTACATTGTTTGGTTCCACGAAGTTAATGGTTTTTTGTTTTTGTTTTCGTTTTTGTTTTTCGCTTCGGTAGCTTGGAATACATTAAATTCTGCCTTAGCACAATTACATATATAGATTTCCTTTAGTTTATTATAGAATTCTTGTTTTAAACATTTATAAATATGCATTTATCGTTTAGTTAAGTTTAACATTTATTTATTCTCGGGTCTGTTTGGTTTTAGTTTAGTTAACTTGGGTTTCAAGTGGCTGCGACCCCTCCATTTTACTTTTTCTTTTTTCGTTTTTTTCTTGTGTACAACATTTAAAGCTTGACTATATTGTTTTATCTGGATTTCCTTTTCTTAGGTTTAGTTGGTTTGGGTTCCGGAAGTCGGGGGGTCAAGGCCCCGCTACAATAAAATTTCGCTTATTGACGCAACATTTAACATCTAGGCATTTGACAAGTAAATCCCATTTCATATATGGAATTCGCGTTCTTCATCGTTCCGTTAATGTTAATGGTAAAAAAATCTAAAAAAAAATGTTTCGCCATTTCATTTGGTTCATCGTTTTTTGGTTCTCGCTAAAGCACACCCATTTACACCCCCTATATATATACTATAATGCGTATATATTTCGGATCCAAGGCGATCGATATAGGGGGCCTTGCAAGCCTGGGACTTGTCTTAAGTGTGTGGCACAATCTCTTCTCCATATTCCATATATTAAGATTAAAAATTAGGTTTGTTTTGGATGCTAGACAGCTGGAAATACCCTGTATCCACAGCATTAAACGTGGAATGGATATGAAATTTAAAGCTTTTGCACACCGAAAGTTGGTTTTGGTTTGGGTTTTGGGTTTGGGGTTCAGGATCGGGATTGGGATCAAAATCTATCTAAGCGATTCGATTGGACTACAGGGTATTTTATAGTCGCCTACTCTCGACTATCACAAACATTCAAGGGGCAATAAGCTGTGGGATTCGGTTTCTGGATCGATATCTTGATCGATTCTTTATCGATTTCTCGAACTACTCGCAAACATGATATTCCCTCCTCCATTTCTTTTGGACAGGAGTTAATTGTTTTAATAACTTTCGCTTTCGCTTTCATTTTCGTTTAAAATTTAATCATTAATATATACAAAAAAAAAACGTTCAGTCAATTATAACTATATGTTTATACACATCGAAACGAACACGTAAAGAAACAACAATGAGGCCTAAACAAATTACATACATGACACACACACATATCGCGCTGTATTTTTCGTTCGTAATTGCCCTTAGCAATTAGCAATTAGCAATTTGGTTTATCCCCTACATTTGTATCCTTACGTCAAGGACATCGACATTTCGATTTTTCGACTTTTCGACAATCTACCGCCTCGTCACCCCCCTCGCACCATGAGTTTGGTTAATTATTTAATACACATACGTTAATAATCAGTCGCATAAATGAATCACCTTGCTTTGGATTTGTTTCCTTATTCCTCTCGATTACTTTCTCGATTAACATTCACACGCGATTCTCGCCAAATTGGCAAATCATGATATGAATCTATAAAATAAACTATAAAATGAAAAACCCAAAGTCACTCAAAGTGACTAGTGTGATCCTCGAATATTGGCTATACGAAATCTGTCTAGAAAATAAATCTGTATAAATATGGACTTTGATATTTTAAATAAATTTTTCAAACGATTTCCAACCCATATGAATCATTTTGATCCTAGCTCTTATTATTATCCATTTAAAGCAAAACAATATAAACTCATTTAATACAAAATATCATCCATTATTTTCGAAATAAGAAATTCGGACTGTTTTCATTTTTTAAAAATTTTCAATTTTTTCAGTACAGGTCTTAAAAGGATGAGCCCATTAATGATAAATTTAAATGCCTTTGGAGAATCAACACTTTCACACTAACAGAATTGATCGTAGGTTTAATTTTGTTGAAATTTTGCGGAACCTATAAATTAAAAAAACATTTTAAAAGCTTTGGTTATAAAAAAAAATTTTAAAGTCCATGAATCCATATTTTCAACATTTAGGAATATTATAAATATATTGCGGAAATTACCATGAATATAAAAATATTTAACCTAATAATAATTTAAATTCAAATCCATAACAAAATGTGATTCCCCTTTCAAATGTAGCAATACGTTGCAAAATAATAGTGAATCAGATCAAAAATCAAAGAAATCAAATGAAATATAGATCTTTTGAGTTGGATTTTTTTAAAATGCAATAAGATGTAAAAAATCAATCGGCAAGCACACACACTCTATTTGGACACACATGTAGGATCGAGAGAACCCTAAGGAGGAGGATTCGATTCGGAGTTCGGAGTTCGGACTCCGAAATCAGGAGTCCTAAATCCGAAGTTCCCTAGTGGAAAATCGAGAAAACCCTAAGGAGGAGGATTCGATTCGGAGTTCGGACTCCGAAATCAGGAGTCCTAAATCCGAAATTCTCTAGTGGAAAATCGAGAGAACCCTAAGGAGGAGGATTCAATTCGGAGTTTGAAGTTCGGAGTTCGGAGTCCGAAATCCAGAGTCCTAAATCCGAAATCCGAAATCCCCTAGTGCTGAAGGATGCGCGACTTCTGGGCGAGCACGGCCTCCGACTGGTGGAGCCGCCGCTTGCTGCTGTAGTTGCACAGCTTGCCGGCGACCTTGCTGAGGGTGGTGGCCGTCGAGGAGGTGATCAGGTCCAGCGACTGCAGCCGGTTGTCCAGCTCGTCGAGCGCCGACAGCGAGGCGGTCGTCGTGGTGGCGGTCAACAGGGTGGACAGATTGCTGCCGGCAGGATCTCTGCCTCTGCCGCTGCCTCTGCCTCCGCCCTCCACATCCGCAGATCCATCCGCGGCCGCATCCGCATCCACGATGACGTCAATGTCGCTGAGCTGATTGGCCAGCGGATCCTCGTCGTAAGGATCGTAGGGGGGTCTTAATTATTGCTTGAACACGAACAGACCCGTGGGGTCCCACTCGTTGTCGTCGACGGGGCCGAAGCACTCATCGAAGTACCACTCCATCGTCTTGTAGACATGGCTCAGCGACCTGGCGATCCCATGGTCCTCGTCGGGATAGACCTGGTGCCGGAACTTCACCTGCTGCTCCACCAGCGCCCGCACCAGCATTAAAGTGTGCTCCTGGTGGACCAAAGTGTCGGCGGTGCCGTGCATCAGCATCAGGTTGCGCCCCTTGATGTTGCCCGCCTTCATCGTGAGATCTGCCTCCTGGAGGGCACGCAGATAGTCGCCCTTCAGCGGAATGTAGCGCTCCGTGAAGAAGGAATCTGGAGGGTTGGTAAGGTGGGTAAGTAAGGTTTCCTCAATAGATCAAATAATTCGATGTGAAATAACGTCAATTCGATCTTATTTCATATCAATAAGACCACCTAAACATTTCAACTTGATATTTTATAATATCAGTTATTTAAAAACTATAAAAATACTATTTTCAAATGCAAAATTTGTTTTTTTTTAACAAATAATGTAAAATAAGATCAAATACAATAAATAACTTGATTTTTAACCAATATAAAACTGATCAAACTGATTTTTTGTCTACTTTTTTTGTCTAAAGACATAATATCAAAATAAATTCAAATATTAGAGATTTTTTTTAAGGTAATCAAGAAATATATAAAAAATATATATTTACATTGAATATAGCTTTTAATCCACCTATTTAATAATATATTTTGTCGAATTTTTAAATCAACTCTCTCAGAAGAACTACTGGCAATAAATATATAATATATATATAAGAAAATGAAGATACAAATTTAAAGAAAAGAAACTCAAATGTTCCGTTAAAAAAACACTCACAGTGGAATCCAAAGTTGACAATGGGATTGATGGCCACCGCGCACTGGAGGACCTGTTGGGAATCGTCGATGAGCATCATGGAGGAGGCGTAGCCCCCGTAGCCCCAGCCAAAGGCGCAGATCCTCAGGGGATCGATAAACTTCAGGTTGTCGCGCAGGTATCTATAGATTTCGATTTGTAGATATGGCATGCTATGTTTACGAGTATATGACTTGGACTCTTACGTGAGGACGCCCAGTTGATCCTCCACCTCGACGGTGCCCAGCTTTCCATGCACCTGGGTGCGGAGCAGCTCCCCCTGGAAGCCGCTGCCACGCCCATCGATCTGGGCCACAATGAAGCTGCGCTGGCTGGCCAAGTACCAGTTCCAGTCCACGTGAAAGCGCTCCGTTACCAACTGCGATCCCGGCGAGGCGTCGCTGTGGAATGCAAAAAGTAAAAAAAATTATTATCGATATTTTCGATATATTTGAAACAAAGATGATTATCGGAATCATCGATGTTTTCGTTCGATTCTACTCTTTTTCATTTAAAAACATCGATATTATCGTTACAATAAGGTGGAAATATCGAAAATATCGATCGGTTTTTCCTTTTCTATTTCAGTTATACTCTTTTTCCTTCCAAAACATCGATAGTATCGATACAATACTGTGAAGATATAAAAAATATCGATAGATTTTTCTTTTTCTATTATTCTTTTTTTCCTTCAAAAGCATCGATAGTATCGATACAATATTGTAAAAATATCGATAGATTTTTCTTTTTCGATTCTTCTCTTTTTCCTTCAAAAGCATCGATAATATTGATACAATATTGTATATCGACAATATTGATCTATTTTTCTTTTTCCTTTTCGATTCTACTCTTTTTCCTTCAAAACCATCGATATTATCGATACAATACTGTGAAAATATCGATAGATTTTCCTCTTTTATTTTCGATTTTCCTTTTTTTCTTTAAAAACATCGATATTATTGATAAAATACTGTGGATTTATCGAAAATATCGATCTTTCTGATCAACCTACACGTGGAGCACCAGCGGAAAGGCCACGTCCTCCTCCTCGCGCATTCCGGGCGGCAGGAAGAGTCGCACCTGGGCATGGAATCCATGTCGGATCTCCACACTGAAGGTGCGCGACTGCGGAATGGCCAGTTGGGAGAGTCGATGGCGCAGCACATCGCCGGCATTCAGCACATAGATCTTGTCATTGCTGGCCGTCTCCACGAGATAAACGGACGGTGCCTCCGGCCCCAGGCACTCCTGCACATAGTAGCTGTAGTCCTGGCTGAACTGCACCCGATTGTATAGGCAATTCTTTGGTATATCATAGAGGCAATCGTCTGGCTCCAAACGGGCCACAATATCCTCCCATCGATCGCCCCGCTGCGAGATCCTCGCCCTGTGCAGCCGGTAGGTGGACTCCGTGTTGTCGCACGTGAGACAGGTGGGCGGCGTGGAGGTGATGTATGTGCGATTCGATTCGGTCACGTTCAGCTTCAGGCCGATCTTGTACAGATGCCGTTCGCCCGGTCGCTTCTCCGGCGCGGCCATGAAGTAGACAATCTCGTGCGGCTCGTCCCAGCCGACGATTTCGGTGACCTCGAATCGGCCCATGGTCAGTGGGACGGGTCGTCGGTCCAGCGAGGATATGAAGACGACGTGACGGTAGTGCCCATGCTCGCCGTCCCGCACCGGCAGACGCTTCAGCAGGTAGCCCCCGTTGCTGATCTCGTGCGTCTGCCCCTCCTCCTCCTCCTCCTCCGCCTCCGCCTGCGTCACTCCTCCGGTGGCATTCGGGCTCTGGTGACCCTCCTCCGGCCGATGATGCACCTCCTCCCTGGAGGAGGATGCCGCCTGGCTGCGGGCCGAGAAGATCGGGCGCTCCGCCGGCAGCACCCAGCCATCGTTGATCGTCACCTCCGTGTGCACCGAATGGCAGTGGAAGTGCGGCGCCCGGCAGAGCACCGTGGTGGCCTTGGTCTGCTCCCGGTTGGTCACGGTCACCGAAAGGTCGCTCGGCGAGGCCCAGGTGAGGCCGCCCACATAGCTGCCATTGGCCAGGTCGGCGGGCAGGCGGATCTGCGTGGGAAATATGTACTTGGTCACCGACAGATTCACCACGTTCACCGTCACATTCGGATTGCGGGCGCCGGTCTTCGGATAGCGCTGGCTCATCACCGCCGGATACTTGATATCATCGCCCATCCAGGTGTATCTGTGGAAGAGTGTGATAATCTCTTAATGCTAAAGAATTCGCGCTTTTATTATTATCGATTATTATCAAATTGCTATCAATTTGTTCAGCTCAATTTTATTTTTCAAAATATATGACATTGATGCTGAAGAATTCGAGCTTTATACGTTTTTTGAGACACCTATTTTCTTGTACTTGCAATAAACATTTTTCTGGTCTCTTCAACTATGCAAAGGATGCTAAAGAATTCGCGCTTTTATTATAATCGATTATTTTCAATTTGTATGCCTTGGCAAAGGTTTGTTTAGCTGAATTTTATTTTTCAACATAAAAGGCAATGATGCTGATGATGCCTTTTCTGTAAAGATTTCTTCAGCTGAAGAATTCGCTGTGTATGCAAAAGTTATGTTTTAAAAACGGGGCCTGTATTTTTTTAAGATGTCTGAAGAATTCACTGTGTTTTCTTTTAAATGACAAAGAATGTGTATGGCAAAGAATGCTCAAGAATTCGCGCTTTATTATGTAGCAAAAAGTTTTCGCCTATGTATGTAAAGAACTTATCAAATGCATTCATAATGGCTAAGAATGCTCAAGAATTCGCGCTTTTTGTTCGATTATTATAAGGCTCCCGCTGCACTCACTTGTACTCGTTGACCTCGCTGTCGTTGTAGCTGAGAAAGGCCAAATAGAGTCCGTCGGGCGAGAACTCCATGCTGCTGCGCCGGCTGTCCAGTTCCGGCACATTTTCGTACGTCCAATCGGGCACCCCATTGAAGACCACCCCCGAGGAATCTCCCGCAGCGGATCCCGACTGCGTTATCCGGCAGACGAGTTCGCCCTGCACCTTGGGCTTGTAGTAGATGTCGTTGTGGTGCACAAAGGCGATGGCCTGGTTCATGTGAAAGCCACCCGACTTGCCATTTGGATTTGGGCCGCCGGAGGAGCCGGAGGATGCCATTGGTCCATTGGCTGCCCCGGCCAGGCTGTTTAGGATTATGCTGCCACTGGGCAGCGGGGCCATTGTGGTGGTGCTTGGACCACTGGCCGGTGGTGGTGGTGCTCCCAGTGGTGGTGGCGGATTCGCTGGTGCCCACACCACATGCTGGAGGCGAGGCGCCTCCGCTATATTCTCCGTTGGTCCCAGCGGAAATGTGTTGGCCGTCTGCACCTCGTACACGTGATGTCTGTCCAAAAAAGAGGCGAAACGTAATTCAATTTAAGTGAGTGCAAATATATAATACTAAACTTGGGATAAATACGCTTTCATTAAAAATACAAAATAATACCAATTATTTTGAAAATAAATTGGAAAAAGAAGAGCCCAAATTGAAATCAATTATTATTATGACAGGGCATTAAAAGAAAGTAACGAGTAACGATACAAAGCAAGATAGGCGTGTGACCGCAGGCTTGCTTTCTTGCCCTTACAATTTAATAAATTTTAATTATTATTTAAATATTTGTTGCACAAGTTTACCCACCTGGAGCCCTCGGCATTGGAGTCCGACTGGAGGAGCACGTATTTCTGGTCAGGGGCCACGAGAAATGATTCCGCATTCAATTGGCGCTAAATTACAAAATTATAATTATCAAATAAATTAAAATTAAAATATATATTATTTATTATATGTATTATTATATTATATTATTTATTGTTATATTATATAAGAGTAAAGAGTAAACTCACAAATGTTGAATTGGTCATAAGAATGCGTGTGGTGAGATCGGCCATATTGAGAATGGAAAGGCCGCCGGTGGGATCGCGATAGATGAGCTCGCGACCTGCCAAAAAACAGAGGAACCTTAGCAAAGGGATATATATTTAAGGTATCACCCTTTATAGAGCCTCACCATTGCTCCAGGTGCCGTTGAAGGGCTTCCACTGGAGGCTCCTGCCCAGGATGTCGCTGGGCAGCATCCGGCGACCCCGGATCCGCAGGCCCTCGTCCTCCGGCGACAGCAGGAAGATCGAGAAGATGATCAGGCTGAAGACGGCTGCAATGACCAGCAGGGCGATGAAGATGCCGCGCCAGTTGCGGCGCTCCGGAGAAATGGCCACCAGTTCCTGTGGAATTCAATAAAAATGCATTCCCAATTTAATTGATTTGATTTGTTACCATTGTTACGGTTAAAAATCGAATTATTTTTTTGTGAAAAATTGGAATCTGGGTTTTTGGTAAAAAAAAAAATAAATACTGTTTTGAACAGATAACTAAATAATAAATATCTCCATGACACTTTCCGGGTGATCTTGAAAAAATAAAATTTTCGCCAATTTTCAATTTTTTTATAAGGGGGTAGATCATGATTTTTTACGAAAAATGACAAAAAAATGCCAATCGATTGGAAATTTAATAACGAGTTCAGAAAGGTATGACATTCCATATTTGGATCAATACTTCAATTGTTACGGTTAAAAAACGAATTATTTTTTGGGAAAAATTGGAATCTGGGCTTTTTGTAAAAATAGGAATTTTTTCTTTTCGTTTTTTTGCTGTAACTTTGCCAAAAATGGTCTCACACCAAAAATAAAAACTGTTTTGAACAGATAACTAAATAATAAATAAATCCATGACAGTTTTCGGGTGATCTTGAAAAAATAAAATTTTCGCAAATTTTGCAATTTTTTTTTGCAAAATAATTTTGTTTTTGCAAAAAATGGTCAAAAAATAAAATGTTCAGGTTTAATTGCCAATTGATTGGAAATTTATTTTATTTTCTTTGACTTCATATTTTACTAGCCCATTTCCCATTTGATTGGTTAATTGCATTAGACTGCGCCTTTTTTCGGGCACCCCGCGTTTTAATTAAACTAATGGTCTAACACTAAGTATTGCCGAAGAAGGGAAATAGTTTGGGGATTTGTCAGGGGATCTAAGTTGGAATTTGATTATATCATTCATCATGTACCCTATATTATTGATTAATTGATTAGTTATTATTTCCTCGAAAGTATATGTATCTCTTTATCTATTTTTATTTATTTTGCAAATGAATTAAATAGCTTTCATTGATTTCACTTTTTCAAGGCGAATGAATGACAGTGCGAAAGTGCTGAACTATTTAAATTTAAATGCATTTTGCATGTGAGGCACACATAATCCCCTGCCTCCACTCAACTTCCACTTAGTCGGCTCTCGGATTTCTTATCGAAGGACTTTTGGCCATGGTTCTTGTTCTGTTTCTGGTTTTGGCCCCTTTGTTTCCCCTTCGCATTTTGCCAATTCGATTCCGGCCGTAGTCCCCGAAGTGCTTTACACTCGCAATCAATGGCATTGCTTGTGCTGAAATTGAATTAAAAATTGATATGCACTTGGCTGTGGAGATGTGGAAATGGAAAATGAAAGCAGAAAATGGCAATGGTAAATGAAAGCAGAAAATGCGATTTGCCGACGTGTGAGGGCGAAAGTGCTAATTGAAATTAGTTGCCCCGCCTGCAGAACAACAAATTCAAATTTGGAAACTTGGGACAAAACCAAAACCAATATATTTCATTTTTGTGGCCTTTTAAATCCACTTTATGTCTTGGAAAGTGCCGAAAGTGTCTGACTGGTTTTCTGTTTTCTGTTGACGAGCCATCAAAAAGTTTTAAGCTCTGCTCATCTCTGATTTCCCTGTAGTTCTCCCGTTATAGTTTTCATGTGGCCCCATTGAATCATTCAACTTTAACTTGATTTTCGAACTTACTTACTGATTTAATGGCATTGAGCTTTGAGTGAATAAATCATAGGGGTTATTATTTATGTGAAATGGAAATTAGGTTACTGCGATTTGCTAACATTTATTATTTTATTTTATATTTTATAACATTGTATTTTATTTTATTTATTTTTTAACATTTAATAAGAAATATTTGAGTCTATTTGTATACCGTTTATTAATATCGGTTTACTAACAGATATTAATAATTAAATTAAAAATTGTCTTTTCACATGCTACATTTAATAAAACATTAATCAACTGTTAAGAACCGAACCGCATCATAATTAATTTGATTGCATATCCGCAATATAAGCAAATATTATACATATTTCATTTATTTGCCATAAAACAATTAATCAAGCTTTTATGCATTCGAAATCTATAAAAGCTGCCGAAGGGCCAAAGTTTAATTTGCATACGAACAAGTTTGTGCGGAAACACTAGGAGTTTAAACATGGCAAAAACTGGCAAATTAATTATGGGTAACACGATGCCGATGCCGAACAGGAAAACCGCAGAGAAAAGCGGTCTCTTCACCAAGCGGAAAAACACCAATTTAAGGCCGGACAAAAAAAAAAGAAAAAAGGGAGAGACAATGGCAAATTGTCTGGCATTTGATGGCGACCAATTGTCCTCCGTCCTGCGGCCTTTTTTATTACCACTGCCATGTGGCAGTTGGGCCGTTGATGTTCCTTCATTAGCTATTAATGCCAGCTGGGCCATAGAAAGGTGTGACAATTGCGGGTGCGAACAATGGGAGCGGACCGAAAGTTAAGTGGACCTCTTAAGGGCACACTATGTTGAGGAAATTTAAATTATTCGAGAAGTATACCCTACCTTTTCACTGTTTAAAACAAAACTAGTGTGTCATAAATTATTAAATATCCAAAAAAGTTAAATTTCTTTAAGCAGTTGTTTTCGCCTGGTCCTTCGAGCCGGATAACTCAAATTTTAAAACTTATATAAATAAGAGGTACATTGAGGTTATAAATTCTTATTAAAAGAAAATAAGACTTGGACCAAACTAAAGTGGTTACAAACAATTGGAACATACCAATATGCCCGAAAGACCTGGCGCACGGTGCGTATACGTGACTAAGAGTGCGCATAATTTATGTGCAAATGACTGGAGTTGTTGGTCTCGGTTGTCGTCACATCGGCTCTTTGTTGTTGGGCCTTGGGCAGGACGCCAAATGCAGGCGCTTTGTGAATGCGTTCACAGCTCATTAAATGCCCATTGGGGGAAGTGCGGGAGGGGGAAAGGGGGCGGGACCGCTTCATCCTCATCCGCCGTATTATCGATTCAGGAGCTGCAGCTGCATTTGCATTCGCATTCCGGATTTCAGTTTCCGGATTCAGGCTGCGGCTTCGCGTACTTTCCCGTAATTTTCTGTGATTACATCTCTGGATGTCTTTCGATTGTTCAATGCCCGCGCAGCCAATGCACAGGGAAAAAACAACTAGATAACAACTAGATTCCAAAAAAAAAGGTATTAAAGAAATTTTGTTTATATTTTATAACCCAACTTCAGGTGAAAAAATAGTTGTTTTGTTTCAAAACAAAAGAAAACAATGTTCAGAAATTATGTAAAAGGTTGGCAAAAGAGGTAAGAAAAAAGCTAATGAAAGTCTTCTCCCCACTGGAAATGACTTTTATATGATTTAAAAATTTTTTATGGCTAAGAAAAGCCTCTAAATTTTCCAGCCAAAACTTGAATGAATAACTGAATGATTTTAGGTTTTAAGGGAAAACTATTTAAATGGAACTTTAACTATCGGGTTTCCAACAGCAGAAAAGAATGTTTGCCTTTGTGCAAGGGGAAAAAAGAGGAAGGAAAACCTTTTTTTGCCGTTTTCAATAGCGTTTGTTTGTTTATTTTTATATTTGTTTTTTTTTTTTTTGCTCCATTAAACTGCAACCAAAGCCGACAGCTGACAAAGCCATATTCGGATCGGCTGGGTTGGGTTAGGATGCATCTTTTATGGGCTGCCACTCCACAGCCGGAGAAGATGCCACTGACAAGTGCATATGCTTGAGCAGGATGAGGACGAGGATACTTTGTTATTGTTGATTCTACCCCTGTGTCTGTCTATCTGTGTATCTGTGTGTTTGCCTTTGCGGTCGGACCACAAAGGTTTGTTTTCCACCTATCCGTGTCCGTATCCCGTTTCCTGGCTGGCCATGATTGCATTTTCCTTTTCCGACCTGGCTCTGCAGTTGATAACTCACTTGCAGGATTATCTAACCAAAAAAAAACCTTTTCATTTTGCTATGGCAAATAATTACCCAGCACAATGGATGTTCGATCAACAACAGAAACGGTGATGAAAAAATACGATGATGTGGAAAAAGAAATAAATGCCAATCAAACGAGTAAAGTACAAAAGCTACGAGTGCCTGGAAAAATGGAAAGCAAGGTAAACTAATTATGCGAAAATGTCGGAAAAATAACAAAGAAGTGGATAACTTAAAAAAATAATAAATAAATTATTTAAGCTGTTGATAAAAGTGTTTAATATAAACCTAAAAAGATTTATTTTAATTACTTTAAATATATACAAAATTATAAAAAATGCGCTTTTATTTTTTTTATGATATTTATTCACTTTCAAGTTATTCTTATGGAAAGATAAATATTTTAGTGCAACTATTATGGGGATTTTTTAGTGTTGCATAAAAAGCGTTTGTGTCCTTGCTTAAAAATTCATGTGTGCGGGACATTGTAGCGGTTTTCCCAGCTGCATTTTATGGCCCACCATAAACATTTTCCATTTTCCATTTCCCATTTTCCCACTAAACCCACAAAAACGCTGCGAAAGAGCAGGATTTCGTGGGTGCTGCATTTCTGGGGGGCGGGGCCTTTAATACTCCGGTCGTCAAGTGCTTAATTGGATTTCCGGAGGCTGGCCGAAAAACAATGACGAGTGACGAATATGAGGCTGCTGCACGGCGATAAGATTGGTGGCCACTTGTCGAAAGGGCGAAATTATAAACCCCTTGGATAATGAGTAGTGGTCCCCGGAAAGTAGGCTTTATTTCAGATATTTTCCAACTGGATTTTGAGCCTTCATTTGTGATTAATGTATCTTAAATGTAGTACTTTGCGAAATACTTATCTACTTGTTTATGTTTACTTCAAAATGCATTGTCCCCACTTCACAGGGAGGCTTCAATTTTCGCACTCAATCTTAATATTAATATTAATCGACTTTTAAGGCGGACAACGAATTCGAGCACGAGGCCTCGGGGCAGGCATGTTGATCCATACTTTTCGGCTGTCAGCGCTCAACTAACTGTCGGCTTTTAATTAGAAATTGCACACGGAAAAAAGTTATAGCCCCCGGGCTAAGGAAGAGGAAGAA